TTTAGGTTTATCAAACATATTCTACTGTGTTTGCTTTTGCATGTTGTGTACTTAACCTGTTTCATTGATGGAACTTTCTATTTTTTAATCAGTACCAACTTGTTTTGATTACTAATGCTTAATAATATAGCTTGATATCTGGTACTGGTAGGTCCCTTTCTCACTTAAAACATTTTTTTTTCATTTTTTCCTTTGAGAATCCTGACCTTTTGTGACTCTACATGAGTTTTTTGTTATTATTTTTTCTATTTCTCTAAATTAATCTTTTGATAACTTGCTTGCTTTGACTCTAATTATGTAATATTTTCATTTTTATCATATTTTTATGGCACATGAGCATAAATGTTTCCATATTATTATATATTATATGTGTAATATAGAAACATTATATATAAATGTAAATAAATTTCTCTTCCTACCATTTCTTTTAGCATTTTATTGCTAACATAAGAAAAATTGATGATTTGTATGAGTTAATTATATACACTCATGCTTTGCTAAAATCATCATTTCAATTAATTTTTAGTTGACTCTCTAGGTTGTCTAAGTAGATGGTAGGTCAATAAGCAACACTTTTGTTTGCTTTTTTTTTTGCCTATTCTTATTCCATCAATTTCTTTTTTTTATCTTATTATTATAGTTAACATTTCTACCACTATCTCTAACAATAGTGATGATAATGGGCATTCTTGCTTTGCTCATGATGTTATTGGAAAGACTTCTAGTTCATTTCCATTACATTAAATTCACACTGGCTTTTGATTTTAGGTAGATACTCTTTACCATATTAAGGAAAGATCCAAAAATGGATGTTATGTTTTGTGAGAAGCTTCTTCTGGTCACATTGATGCAATCATGTAATTTTATTGTTCTGTTATTAATTTGGTTTATTATGTTTATAGTTTTAAAAATATTGAAACAATCCTACAATCCTGGTATAAGTCCAACCTGGGCATAGCACATAATCTTTTTGATATGTTGCTAGCCCCTTTGATAATATTAGTTTAATTTATTTCAATATTTATTAGAGATATTGGTTTAATTTTTTCCCATTTTTTTCTCACTGACTTAAAGCCATATTTGCATTATAGAAAAAGTTTAGTAGGATCCCCTATCTTTTGTATTTTTGCAAACAGTTTTTATAATATTGGAGTGTATTGTTCTTTGAATATTTGAAGAAATAACTTGTGTTTACATTTGATCCTGGATTTTTTTTTACTTTCATTTACTACTTGTTCAGTTTCTTTTTCTGAGATTCAATTATTTGAATTCTCTATTTTTTTGTTCTATTAATTTGGGTTTTTAATTTTTTGTAAGAATTCATTTATTTTTATTTAAGTCATCAGTTTTGTTGACCTATAATGGACCTCCTTGCTGTTTCTCAGACAACACTTCATATCCCCAGTATTCATGTTGACTGCCTGTACCCTATGCCTGAGATATTTTTCTCCCCATCTCTGTCTTCTGGATTCCTCAGTTCCCTTTGAGTCTCTACTAAAATCCTACCTTCAGCAAGAAGTCTTTCCAGGTCCCTCTCAATGTTAATGCCTTCCTTGTGAGGTTGCATCCATTTTACCCAACTTACTTGTATATAGTTGTCTGAATGTGTCTCCTCCATTAGACTTTGAGCTCCTCAAGGATGAGGACTGTATTTGCCTTTCTTTGTATCTCCAGCATTTAGCATGTGCTTGGCACATAGTAAATGCACATAGTAAAATTTTGTTGACTGACAGAAACTGATATCTCCAGTTATTCAGGTTCTCTTAATTGCCACGCCTAATGGCCTCTTCTTGATCTCAATCTTCCTTGACTTCTCTGCAGCATTTGACACTATTAGTCACCCTTTCTTCCTGGATAATCTCTCCTGTCCAGGTTTTCATGACCCTGTTCTCTTGATTCTCCTCTGACTGATCCAACCCTTTCTCAATTTACTTTGCTGATTCTTCATCCGTGTTACTTTCACAGTGTATGGACATTCCTCAAGACTCTGAGACCTTTTCTCTGCCCCTCTGTACTATCTCACTTGATGATCTCATCAGATCCCATGGGTTTAATTATCATCTCTATGCTCATGATTCCTAGACCTCTTTATCCAGTCATAGTCTCTCTCTTGAACAAATGTTGCATGTCAACAACTGTTTTGGGATAACTCAAACTGGATGTCCAATAGCCATCTTGAACACATCCATAAAAGAATTCATTATATTTCCACTCATCTCTTCCCTTCTTCCAAACTTCTGTTATTCTTTCAAAGGCGCTACCATCTCCCAATAACATGGGCTTGCAACCTTGGCATCATTCTTTATTTCTCTGACCCTGTAGACCAATCAATACCTCTCTTTCTTCAGTCATTTCAGTTGTGTCTGACTCTTCGTGACCCCATTTGAGGTTTTCTTGGCAAAGTACTGGAGTGGCTTGCCATTTCCTTCTCTGACTCAATTTACAGATGAGGAAAGTGGGGCCAACAGGGTTAAGCGATTTGCCCGGGAGAACACACCTAGTAAGAGTCTGAGCCCATATTTGAACTCAAGTCTTCCTTACTTTAGGTCAGTACTTTCTCCACTGTGCCACCTAGCTGCCAAATACTTCTCTTACACATCCCTTTTTCTCATTCAAACAGCCACCACTCTAGTTCAGATTCTTATCACCTCACACCTGGCCCTTGCAATGGCTGCTGGTGGGTCTGTCTGCCTCAAGTCTCTCCCTGCTCCAATCTATTGTCCACTTAATTGCAAAATGATTTTCCTAAAGTGCTGATCTGACTATATTACCCCCCCCAACAACCTCTAGTGACTCCCTGTTACCTTCAGTATCACATATAAAGTCCTTTGCTTGGCATTTAAGGCCCTTCACTACTTGGCTCCTTCCTAACTTTTCCAGTCTTCTTAAATTCTGCTCCCCTCAGTGAATTTCATGATTCAGCAGTACTGGCCCACTTGCTATTCCTTGCACATGATACACCATTTTCACTCTACCTTTGTACTGGCTCTTCCCCATGATTGGAATGCTCCCCCTCCCTACTTCAAACTCTTAGAATTCCTGGCTTCCTTTAAAACTTAGTTCAACATCACCTCCTACAGGAGGCTTTCCCTGATTCCCCTTCACTCTCCTAGCCCCAGTTTCTGATGCCACTCCTTCTAAGATCACCTTCCATGAATTCTGTATTTATTTTGTATGTTGTATGAAGTTGATGATGACCCAAAGGACAGCAGAAGGACATACTGTGAGTATGAGGAGGCTGCAGCTTACAATTCATGATTAATTATGTGCAAGATGTCATCAATGATATGAATGATTGGAAAAGGAAGTTTCAGGGAAAGGAATGATGCCCAAGGGCACATGTGGAATGGTGAAGGCTCAGGGGATGGAAAGTCTCTAGCACCTTGAACCTATGGGCCTTCGATGGAGGATTTATAGGAGGATATGGAGAAGAACAGCATGACACACATTAGATGCTTAATAAATACTTGTTGCTTGATTGATGAGAACACCTGAATGGACTGTGATAAGCTTCAGTGGTAAGAGCATGGAGATGGAGAAGGTCCATCTAAATATCAAAAAGTATCATAGGATTTAGTGGATGTTAGGTTTATTTGAGGTAACAATTTTCATAGCATCACAGATCCTGTGTTTACAACATGGGGAGGGAGCTCCCCCACCTTAATACGAGGGCTGATTTTTTCATGGAACTTCATAACTCAATGCTTCTTATTTGTTCTAACACATTACTCTTCCTGGGTCTCAGAGAAGTGAGCTAGGTTCAATAAGTGAGGGTGGCCAAGAGGCAGATTTAGACTTGATATGAGGCAAAAATCTTCCTCCTTTTACAGTTGACTGAGAGGTTGCTTTGATCAGTAGAGAATTTCCCATCACTGGATGTCATGAAGTATAAGACAGATGAGTCAGGAAGGGTGTAGAGGGGATTCTTGATCAGGGATGAGCCATACTCTCTGAGAGTCCATTCCATGAAACCCTTTTAATACACATTCTTTCTCTATGTCTGTGTCTCTGTGTACATTTTCCCTCTCCCTTCCTCCCTGCTCCTTTTCCCTCTCTTCCTTTCTATCCTCCTCCTCCTCCTCCTCCTCCTCCTCCTTTTTCTTCCTTTTTATTCTCTCTCAACATAGATATCTGTATCTATATCTATCTATTTATGAGGTTAGGAAGAGGCAAGGGGCTTGGGAAGAGGAATTACTGTTAGGACTACAGATGTTTGAAAATGGAGGTAGGGATGGAAGAGCACAGAAAATGTGTGAGAAAATAGAATGGAATTTCCAGTTCAGGATTGGTCACAATATTTAACCCCAGTTGAGTGGCTGACCAGTGAGATGAGTCCTGGTCATAGAGCTGGTCCTGTGATCTGTTTTCTCTCAATTACCATGTTAAGATGAATGAATGCCAAGGGGGTTATTAATGCTACAATGGGAAGCTCTGAGACTCTTCAATTGCAAAGATACCCTTGTAGAACAGACATTTCTGGACCCAAAGAGTTTGGTGACTTTCATGTGGGTCCCATTCTGGTCTCTGTTCTAAGCTTGGCATGTTTTCTTTTCTTTGTTCCCAGGAAAACAATATTCTCCCTCAAAGCTGTCATGGTCTGTGTGTACTATGCTGCGTAGGAATTCATATCAACTTGCATCCTCAGCAACAAGATGGTAAGTGACCTGGGATGATTTCATGTTCAGTCCAGTCTCTCTTTAGATGTTTGCCAGAGTTAAAATATTCTGAAGTCCCACTTTTACCCAGAAATAGACATAGTAGTTTAAAAAAAACCACAACCACCCCTCCCCAGCTATGAAATTACTTTGTAAGAATTTGAGATCAATGGGTCCTGTTCAAGAGTTTAGGGACCCCAAGATTAGCACATTTGTCCATCTATCTCACAAGCTTTCAATTATGCTTGATTGTGAGCCTTCCACAGCCCAGTGAGAGGCTAAGAAGGAAGAGAAAGGTTGGTAGTCCAAGTTTGGATGGCCCTGCTCTGAAGCCCCAGGCAAGACTCAGGCAAAATAACTATGGTAGAAGACGCCCATAGCCAGGACCAGGATGGTGTTGATATTCACCACATTCCTCCACAAGGGTTCTTCTGATGTGTCTGTGAGCTGCTTCTGCAGGGCAGCCTTCTCTTCCTCGGTCAGCTTGGGGCCTTTCTTTGTCTCCAGCTCACAGAATGCATTCCAGGCCCTCTTGAAGAACCCTTGTGATTCCACTGGGCCATCTGGAGGAAAGGGAAGAGAGGAAGCAGTGAGGAAATGGGCTCATAATGGGCATTTTTACAGCACATCTCGAGTTGGCAAAGGGCTTTACCAGGACGTTATTTGAGTCTCACAAAAGTGCTGGGAGGTGGGCAATACAGCTATAATTGTACCCATTTTGCACATGAGGAATCTGAACTCAGAGAGTTAAAGTGACTTCTCTGTGGTCACACAGGAACAGGTCTGGGAGTCAGGATTCAAACTCGGCTCTCTCTGACTCCAAGAACAGCATGCTAGCCAGTGTACCCTGCAATAATGAGCTGTAACAATGACTGGGAGGAAGCTGCTTTTCTGGCAAGTGATCGGACCCCAACAAAACCAATAGCTGTTCCCTGACATTACCAAAGGCAGCAACTGGAGGAAATGAGCCTGAAGGGAAAGACACCTCCAGGCTAACTCTGGACCTCAGCAATGTCAGGACTCTGGTCAAAGTTTGGGCCACCAGAGAAGAGGTTTCTACCTTAGCACCAGAAGGAAACAGGGGCTTCCATTTTCAAGGTGGCCTTGAACAGATGCAGAAGGGGTCCTGAGTCCTTCTAAGGACAGATTGGTCTCTTATTGCTGGGAAGCTGTCTCAGCCAGTTTGTCAAAAAGAAAACTCCTTGCTGGAAGGCAGGACTTCTGAGAGCTCAGGGGAGCTGGGTACACAGAGAGACAAGTGGACAATTAAATATCACCTTCTTCTCCCTGGTCTCCAGCTTCCTCTTGTCCATACTGCTCAGGGGTCAGGTCGACGAGTTCTTCCTGGCTATTGCGGAGAGCCCAGCAAAGGCGATACAGCTGTCCAGAGAGCACAGGTAGGATTTAGCCACATGACCATGGGAATGAGCACCTCTCCCCACCAGAGATGTTAGAATTAATCTCAGATCAAGTTCTGTCTGCCTGCAGAAAGTTTGCCTTCATTCTTCCCCAGCTCTATGTCCTAGGGGCCTTTCAGATCTATCACATTATGTTCTAAATTCCCTTCTTGTTTTGACATTCTACATTCTAAGAACCCTCTAAGAACTCACATTCCATGTTCTAAGGTCCCTCCCAACTCTATCACTCTATGTTCTAAATTCTCTTCTAGGTCTGACATTCTGTTTTCTAAAAGCCCTCCAAGAGCTCACATTCTGTGTTCTAACAGCTCTCCCAGATTTGACATTTCCTGTACTAAGGCCTATCCCAGCTGTGACATTCTCTCTTCTATGGTCCCTCCCACTGCTGGCATTTCCTGTTCTGAGTTTCCCCCTCAGTTATAATATTTTGCGTTCTAAGAATCCTCCAAGAACTCACATTCTGTGTTCTAAGGACTCTCCCAGATTTTACATTCCTTGTTCTAAGGGTCATTCCAGCTGTCACTTTCCATGTTTAAGGGTCTCTGTTTTAAGGTTTTCTCTCAGCTCTGACATTCTACATCCTAAGACTCCTTCCAGTTTTGATGTGTTATGCTCTATGAGATTTTTCCTGACTTTGAGACTCAGTTTACCTTTTTGCAATTTCTCTCTTGGTTTTGCCCTCTGGGGCCACATAAAACAAGTCTTATTCATCTTTTGTGGTCATCCTTAAACTCTTGAGGACATCTACAACATCTCTTTTCTACCTCTCCCCCAAGTAGTCTCTCTTCCACCTCTATATTCTCAGTCTTTTCAACATATCCACATTTGGGACATGAACTTCAAGCCCTCTGGCACCCAGTTCATTTCCCCTTGGATGGTCTGTACTTTATCCACATACTTTTAAAATTGGGTCTCCCATCACTGAACACAGTACTCCAGGAGGAGTCCCATATACTTTGCTTCTTCAGTGAAGTCCAAGAAAATCCCAGCTTTCTTGGCAGCTGGATCAAGCTGATGCCCCATAGAAGGCTTTCAGTCCACTAACCCGACCCCCCAAAAAAAACACTTTTTCAGAGCAACTACTATTAGGTCATGCCTCCCTAATATTATCTTTGTAAAGTTGGTCTCTTAGAACCTAAGTGTGGAACTTCACACTTATCTCTATTACGTTTTATCTCATAGTCCAATTGTGGCATACCGGGGTTTGAAATGCCCCCTCTCTCTGACTGTGGAATTATATAACTCAGTCTCCCTGATCCAGGATTTGTAGCTGAGGTAGAAGCCAGGGAAAGGGCATGATTTCATGATGAGTAAAGGCAAACTCATACTTACATGTATGTCAGGAATAGGTTTTGTCACCAGAGAGATACCGAGTATAATCAAGACTGTCAACATGAAGAGAAAGATGCTGAAATAGGAGTAATGCCATCCACAGATGATGTTGGGACATGGGCTGGGGGCCATGCAAGTGCCTGTCCCATAGGCAAACTCAGCAAACATATGAATTAGGCCAATTGCAAGTCCAAAAATTAGTCCCCAGAAAGCTCCCTGACAAAGAGAGTCAAGGAAAGTGTCTTCGGGTGCTTTCAGCACAAGGGACAACAAACCACACAAAATGCATCTTGTGGGATGGAAGAATTATTGAAAACCAAAATGACAACAACAGCAACAAAAAATAACACAAAGCTTTCGTATATGATTCTAAGAATGTCAGAATTAGAAGGGAAATGAATCCAACCTTGTTTATTGTTCAGATGAAAAAGCCAACTCCCAGATAACTGAAATAATTTGCCCACAAGAAGCCTGACTCCTAACTCAGGGCTTTTTCTACCACACATTTATAATGGTTGATTATTAGTATTATTTCTTATGTACTACTATTCTACTATTATGTACTATTAGTACTATTGCTATGAAAAATTTGAATTTGGGGACGTCCATCAATGTGGGAGGAAGTGGCATTTTGGGTTCCCCAGGCAGTCAATTAGAGTCTTACCACCTCTACACACCAACTCTCCCCATTCTGACTCACCTGCTCATTAGCTCTCTTGCAGAAGATGGCAAGCAGGAACACAGCTGCAATGGGGACCCAAGGTAGCTTGCTATAGATGAATATACTGGAAGTTCACATTTTGACTTGCCTGGATTATTGGGATCCAAGCAATGCTGAGGGCAATCAGGACCATGATGAACAACCTATAAGCATATTTCTATCAATAGGATATTGAGCTATAACTAGGGTGAATAAGTTGGGGGTTTTCCCATGGTGGGGGTGGCACTTATTTCCCAGGAGGATTCTTCTTCCTTCCCATGAGACCACAGGCCTTGTTTTGTGAAGTCCTCCAATAGCGCCTGACATCATTGGGATTAGAAAAGGGAAAGTAGGCTTTGGGATAGGGTAGGGAGGTGGCATTACTCATTGTTGTTACTGCTATCGATCCTTCATTCTAGAAGAGGCCCAATTACATCACAAGGGTGATGTCGTGATTTGTGCTCAAATTGGATTTAAGTCAGGCAGAGTTGAACAAAGTTGTCAATCTCACTCTGCCCTCTACAGTCATGTAAGTCCAGTGACAAGACAAAAGGCAGAACAACTGATGACACCTGAGATGCAGGGATTGGCATTTCCAAATTAAGGTTTTTCCAAGGCCTCAGTTTGTGTGAGGCCACACCATTTGACGATAAAGGGCTAGGCAAGAATTGAGACAAAAGATGGCCTAATTTTCCACCAAAACAATCAGTCTGGGAGAGAGCTTTCATTGAATGACCAATAATATTACTGGTGGTGAGGATTAAGGAAATAAGGGGAAGGGATGAAGATGAGTTTCCCCTTCTCCACACAGTCAAGCTATTTTCCTGGGGGCTGCCTGACTTCCTCCCAAATACCTATGAGGCTTCATGTTGAATTCTCTGGATAATGGTTTAAAAAAAACCTCTTGTTCTCTTGTCAATCATGCTCTGAACCTGAGAGTTATTATTAATTTCTCCCTCTTCCTTTCCCCCCCACATTTAATCCATCACCACTCCAATCAATTCTCTTCCCCTACTGTTCTTGCAACTTATTCATCATAAGCTAAAAGGGCATAGAACTGGAAAAAATCTCAGAAGTCATCTCAACTGAGCCTTCCTTTTTTGGGGGAAGGAAACAATGCCAAGAGATTTGGCCAGCAAGTGGAAGAAGCAAGATTCAAACTGAGGCTCTCTGACTCCAGAGCTGTTTTTCCCACTGCACCACATTGCCTCCCCAGCATCTTTTCTTCCCATACAACTCAGGCAGCCAGCAGTTTGGCTTAGGGGCAGGAGCTCTGGACTCTGAGCCCAAAGATCTGGGTTTTATTGCTGTTGTGATACTTCCTGGCTGGGTAACCCTGGGCAATTGGCTTGCCTTCTCTGCATCTTGATTTCTGCATCCATAAAGTGGAGATAACAATGCTTCCTCCACCTATTCATGGGTTTGTTGTGAGAAAAAAATTGTAAACCTCAAGAGGAAGGGGAGCTGCTCCAAGCAAGCTCGTTGAAAGTATAGAGAAATCTCCTGGGCAGGAAGGGGCATTACACTTGCTCTTCTTTCTGGAACACATTCCTCAAGTTTTTTTCCCCCCCTTTTCATTGTTCTTATACATTCAAGTCATTGATTTCTCCATCTTTTATTCTCATAACCAGGTGAGACAATTCATAAAGTGTTGAGCCTGGGTTCAGCAAAACCTAACTAAGTTCATATCCAGCCTCAGACCCTTACTTGCTGTGTGTCCCTGAGCAAGTCCTTAATGGAGTCTGCATCAGTTTAGAGTGCCAGGACTGCAGTCAGGAAGACTCATCTTTATGGGTTCACATCTAGCCTCAGATACTTACTGGGCATGTGACACTGGGCAAGTCACTTAACCCTGTTTGTCCCAGTTTTCTGGCTGTCAAATGAAGTGGAGGAGATGGCAAACCACTGTAGTATCTCTGCCAAGAAAACCCCAACAACTACAAGAAGTAGTGTTGCTGGGTCGCAGATACACACAGTTTTATAGCCCTTTGACCATAGTTCTAATTTTTTCTCCAGAATAGTTGAACTCAACCAATAATACATTTGTATGCCTATTTTTCCACACCCCCTCCAACATTTATTATTTTCTTTTTCTACTATGTTAGGCAATCTGATAAGTGTGAGGTGATACCTCAGAGTTCTTTTAATTTGCATTTCTCTAATCAATAGTGATTTAGGGCATTTTTATGTGATATTGAAAGCTTTGATTACCTTCTGAAAACTATCTTTTCATTTCCTTTGAGCATTTATCAATTGGGGAATGGCTCTTATTTTTTATAAATTTGGCTCATACCTTATGCATTTGAGAAATTAGGCTCTTTAGCAGAAAAACTTGTAAATCTCTCCCCCCTCCCCAGCCAGTTTCTTACTTTCCTACTAATTCTGGCCGCATTGGTTTTGTTTGTAGAAAGTATTTTTTAATTTCATGTAATCAAAATTTTCCATTTTACTTCCCATAATCTTCCTTTTCTCTTTTCTGGATTTTTGCATTTATCAAATACTACATTCCTATGGTCATTTACTAATGTGTATTATGTACATAATTTATTCCACTGATCCACCACTCTGTTAGCAAGTACCAACATATTTTTAATGATAACTACTTTGTAATATAATTTGAAATCTGGTACTGCTAGGCCAGCTTTTTTTTTTCACTTTTTTTTTCATTAATTCCCTTGATATTCTTGACCTTTTGCTCTTCTTGATGAATTTTTATTATTTTTTTTTCTGGCTCTACAAAACAATTCTGTGGTAGTTTGATTGGTATTGCACTGAATAAGTAAGTTAACATAGGTGGAATTGTCATTTGTATTATATTGACTCAGCCTATTCATGAGTTTAGCTCTGATTTTATTTGTGTGAAAAAATGTTTTGTAATTGTGTTCCTATAGTCCCTGGGTTTGTCTTGGCAGGTAGACTCCCAAGTATTTTAGATTATTTGCAATGACTTTAAATAGAATTTCCCCCTTTATCTCTACTACTGTATTTTCTTGATTATAGATAGAAATGCTGGTGTTTTATATGGATTTATTTTATATTCTGCAACTTAGCTGAAGTTAATTATTTCAACTAGTGTTTAGGTGGTTCTCTAGGGTTTTCTAAGTATACCATCATATCATATATGGTGAATGATAGTTTTTCTTCATTGCCTATTATTATTCCTTCAATTTATTTTTTTGTCTTATTGCTATAGCTAGAATTTCTAATATAATATTAAATAATAGTGGTGATAATGAACATCTTTGCTTCACTCCTTATTTTATTGAGAAGGCCACTAGCTTATCCCCAAGGGAAGGGATTTTTAGAAAATACTTTACTAGCTCATAAGGGAGCATTTTAAAAGCATTTTGAAAAATCCAAATATATAGAGTCCATAAAAAAATACATTTGGGAATTTATGACCAAACAAGAGATAGAGAGCATTATGAAATGCCAAATGGATAATTTTGATTATATTAAATTGAAAAGCTTTTGCACAAACACAGCCAATGCAATGAAGATTATGAGGGAAGCAGGAAACTGGGAAAGTCTCTGATAAGGGCCTCATTTCTAAAATATATGGAGAACTAAGTCAAATTTATAAGAATTTACAAGTCATTCCCCAATGGATAAATGGTCAAAGGATATAAACAGGCAGTTTTCAGATAAAGAAATTAAAGCTGTCTATAATCGTATAAAAATGCTCTAAATCACTATTGATTAGAGAAATGCAAGTCAAAACAACTCTGCGGTACAATATCACAGTTATCAAATTGGCTAACATGACAAAACAGGAAAATTATAAATGTTGGAGAAGATGTGGGGAAATTGGAACACTAATTTATTGTTGGTAGTTGTGAATTGATCCAACCATTTTGGAGAACAATTTGGAACTATGCCTAAAGGGCTATAAAAATGTGCATATCCTTTGACCCAGTAATACCACTTCTAGGGCTGTGTCCCAAAGAGATCATAAAAATGGGAAAAGGACCCACATGTATAAAAATATGTATAGCAGCTCTCTCTGTGCTGGCAAAGAATTGGAAATGGAGGGGATGCCCATCAATTGGGGAATGGCTGAACAAGTTGTGGTATATGCCATGTAACGGAATGCTATTGTGCTATAAGAAATGATGAGCAAATGGATTTCAGAAAAACCTGGAAACACTTGTATGGACTGTTGCTGAGTGAAGTGAAAAGAACCAGGAGAAAGTTGTACACAGTAACAGGCACATTGTGCAATGACTAACTTTGATAGACTTATCCCTTCCCAGCAATGCAAGGATCTAAGACAACTCCAAAAGACTCATAATGGAAAATGTTATCCATATCCAAAGAAATAACTATGGAGTTTGAATACAGATTGAAGCATACTATTTGCTCTCTCTCTCTTTTTTTGTTTCTTCTTTCTTGTGGTTCCTCCCATTCATTCTCATTCTTCTTTACAACATGACTAATGTGAAAATATGTTTAATAAGAATGTATATGCAGTCTATATAGGATTGCATGCCATCTTCAGGAGGGAGGTGAGGAGGGAGGGGGAGAAAAATTTAAAATTCAAAAGCTTATGGAAGTGATTGTTGAAAACTGAAAATAAATTAATTAATAAAAAAGGATAAAGGCAAAAAAATACATTTGGGATCAGGAGACCTGAGTTCCAAAACTGTGTAACTTTGGCCAAGTTATCCTACCAGTTTAGGCATCAGCTTCCCCATCTATAAGATGAGAGGTTGGACTTGAAAATCTCAAACTTGCTCTACCACAGCTCTGAAATGCTTTGGTCTATGATCCAAATTCCCTGTTTCTGTTAAGGCTCCACCATCCATGGGGTCTCAACGCTTGCAATCTCAGGTTCATCTTTGATTCTTCCCTCCCCATTGATTTCCACACAATCAGTTGTCAGGTCTTGCTGCTTCTACAATATTATTCACATTCATTTTTTTAAAATTATTTTCCACCAATTACATATAAAGGCAATTTTTGTTATTAATTTTAAAATTTTTGAGTTCCAAAATTTTCTCTCTCTTCCTTACCTCCTTCCTCCTTCTGAAATGGCAAGCAATTTGATCTAGGTTATACATGCACAATCAGGTAAACCATATTTCCTTATTAGTCATGTATTCATTTCCTGCTGAGACTACCACCAGACTAGCTTGACCCCATTCCCTTTCAGTTTTTTTTGGTTTTTTGTTTTTGTTTCTGTTTTTTGGCTAGCAATGGGGTTAAGTGACTTGCCCAGGGTCACACAGCTAGTAAGTGTTATGTGTCTGAAGCCAGACTTGAGCTCAGCTCCTCCTGAATTCAGGGTCGGTGTCTATCCACTGCGCCACCTAGCTGCCCCCTGACCCCATTCCCTTTCATTTTGGACTATGGCAATAGCCTTCTATTTGGTCTCCCTGCCTCAAAGTCTCTCCCCACTCCAAACTATACTCCAAACAGCAGCCAAACCAACATTCCCAAAGCTCAGATCTGACCATTGCACTCCCTCCTACTAATAGAAGTCTTCACTAGCTGCCTCTGGCTTCTGGGATCCAATATAAAATTTTCACTCTGGCATTTTTAAAGCCCTCTACAATCTGCCTTCCACCTACTTTTCATAATTTCCCCTTGCACACCTTCTATTTGGATCAAACTGGCTGGCTAGGTACTCTGTACACATTACATTTTATGCCCAGTCTCTATGCCTTTGTATTACTGGTCCACCTGCACTTTGTAGAATCCCCAGCTTCCTTCAAAGTCCAGCTTAGATGCACCTTCCTCCATGAAGGGTTACTTGATTTCCCCCTGAAATAACTTTTTAAAATACTTTTTATTTCCTTGTCTGGGTATATAGTGTACCCCTCCAGCAGAACAGAAGATCTTTGAGGGCAAGAACTGTTTTTTTTTTTAATTTTTGTTTTCTATCTGCTAGAACCCAGAAGAGTAGCTTGCATATATTAGGTGCTTAATATGTGTACATTGAATTTTGACTGGAATCTGTTATTATTTGCATTTGTAGGGCTAAGAAATCTTATGCTATGCTTTCTATAATTCAGCTGTGCATGAGAAACACGGCTTCCTAGGTCTTGCTAGCCTACTTCTTCTACCCAGAAGGATGTCCATTCTGTTTACTTCTGTACCACTTATAACATAGACAGGTTTTAGGGAAGAAAATTTCAGCACATCCTGGCCAAGATGTTCACAGGGCTATGTCAGCTAGGTGAAGCAGTGGACAGGGTGCTAGGCTTAGATTCAGGAAGACCTCAATTCTAATCCTTCTTCAGACACTGGCTGGCCATGGCAAAACACATATGCTCTGTCAGATTGAATTTCCTCATCTGTCAAGTGAGAATGTTAATAGCACCTACTTTATAGGGTTGTTATGAAGATCAAATGAAATAATCATGTAGATCCATTTACAAACCTCAAAGTGCTGTATAAATACTAATTATTATCATTAGCTGTTACCTTCCCACTAGTAGGAGCTCTCTCTCCGATGCTCGCTTTCGATTTTGGTATAGATGTCAATGGTGAACAGAGTGCTGGCACTATTGAAGACGGAGGTGAGGGAGCTTATGAGTGATGCCAACATGGCTGACAACATCAGTGCCCGAAGTCCTTGAACAATAACCAAAAAAAGAGGAAATTGTCTTCTTGTGCACTTAGGAGCCAATGTCCATGGTTTTATACTATCCTTCCATAGTTTCTGAACCTTTGAGAACAATCCAAGCACAGAATGTCAGAGCTGGTAGAGTCTTAAATCAGAGAGTGGCAGAGCTAAGATAGACCTTAGAAAGAGAATGTCAGACCTGGAAGAGACCTTAGAATATAGAATGTCAGGATTGGAAGGGACCATAGCATATAGAAGATCAGAGCTGGCAAAATAAGGGCTGCCCCATACTCAATTTGCATTTGCTACCTCGAGTGCCTGGGTAGTTAGGGCAGTGGATAGACTGCTGGGCCTAGAGTCAGGAAAACTCATCTTCCTGAGTTGAAATCTGGCCTCAGACACTTAGTAACTGTGTTACCTGGGATAAGTCACTGAACCCTATTTACCTCAGTTTCCTCAACTATAAAATGAGCTTGAGAAATGGAAACCCACTCCAGTATCTCTGCCAATAAAACATATTGGGGTCATGAAGAGTCAGACACTATTGGTAAATGACAAAATACACACACATCTTGACTGTTTATACATTTGGGGAAACATTTATATAAGCCATACTTGTATTTTATTTTGAGATATCCTGGAATACTTTCAGATGAGAATAATTTGAAATGACTCAAGAGGCTGGGAAGTTTTTAGACACAGCAGACATCTGGATTTTAATGCTAGCCCTTCTAACTTACTAGCTGTGTGAGACTAGAAAACTTCCTTCACATATCTGAACCTTGGCCATGTCCTCTGTAAAATAGGATTTATTATGCCAAATCATGCTTATGCTACTTGCTTCACAGGATAATTGGGAAGAAACAATTTTGTAGACTTCAGAGTCTTGGAGAAATGGGACACATGATTATAATGAAGTCATTGCCTATCTCTGAGCTTCACTCCTTATCTGGTCAATAAGGGCTTGGACTGAGTGATCTCTAAGGTCCTTTATATACTCCAGAAATCTATACAATCTGAGCTCCATTAGCTTTGTTATTAGCCAGGCAATCATGGTCAGCTCTCGGGGGTCATCCTTGACATCATGTCAGGGGAATAGCATGGTTGACCTTTAGTCCTCTGTTAAATGAGTTTATGGGGATGCTGATGTTTTTTCTACTTTTTCAGATAAGTTAAGTGTACCAGACCTTCTGATTCACCTGATGGCTCATTGGATCATAGACTGAGACCTGGAAGAGATCTCAGAGGCCATCTGGTTCAACTACCTCATTTTACAGAGAAGGAAACTGAGACAGATAGAGGTTAAATGACTTGCCCAAGGTATTACAGCTAGTCAGTGCCTGCAAGTTTTGAACCTAAGTCTTGGGTTCAAGTGTCCTTGAAAGTAAGGGAGAATAACTTATCCTCAATGAAACAAGCTAAAATTCATCTGGAGGAGGCCAAGAAGGATAGTGAGGGGTAGGGGAGAGGACATGATAGCTGTGCTCATGTATTAGAAGGCCAATCATAAAGGAGAGGGATTAGTCTTATTAAGCTTGACCCCAGGAGGCAGAACCAGGAGCCGTGGGTGGAAGTTACAAGAAGGCAGAATTAGGCTTTGTGATGATAACTTTGATGCCCCCTACTCAAATTAACCCACATTTACGCAGTTCATTATGATTTGATGAGTATCAGTGCTTATATTAGTGATTTAAACAGAATAGAGTTGTTTAAGTTAGTTACATATGTTAATGCTGTTGTGATAAGAATTATGAATAATTCATCCACTACGTGCTGATGATTATTTATTATTTGTATTTATCAGAGAGATTTATACTGTTAGTTGGAAATGGAATAAGAATGTAATTTCTTTACTACCTCCCCCCCAACCACTCTGTAATATGGCATAACAAAGTTCATTTGCTGATAATATATACCTCTCCCTTACGAAGCACTGCTGTCACTCCCTTGTGACCTTTGCTTCAAACCCACAACTTCCTTGGACCCTCAGATACCAGTGTATAAACACTAACATCTTATGACTTGAGGAAGGCCTTGAGATGTAATTGAAAGGGTCTTATGACCTTTGCTGAGATGACCTGCAGTTGATGACCTGTGAAAGGTCTCATGACCTGAGAAAGTTGTGTTGACAAGTGGTTATGATTGATGGACATGTTCCTTAGCCAAGCATAAGATTTCCCCACTTCTTGAATTGACCAATCAATGAATTGCAATGTTCTCCTTCTAATTTTAGTGCTCTCCAAGTATATAAAAGTAGCTTGCACACAAGAGGAGGGGACCCTGATCATGTGGAAGATCTTGGGCCCACTTAATTAGGGACCACCATTATCCCTAATAAATTGAATATGCCTGGAATTCATTCCTAAAGGTTATTTGTTACTAACTGGAGTTTTGTGGCCCATAGTTTGATGTTAGGAAAACATCCTAACAATTGGCTTTAACCCAATGTGGAACGGGCTGCCATTGGAAGTTGTTTTTTTTTTTTTTTAGCAGATACTGGGTGACCCATTGTTGGGTATAATGTAGAGAGGGTTCTTAAGGCCAGATTGGAATAGATGATTCCTGAGGTCCTTCCCCACCTTGAGATTCAGTGAGGATACTAAAATACTTGCCAGAGACCACTCAAATCTCTGCTCATGACACCCTATGGTGGGAGACACCTAACTATTGGGCATGAGCTCTACCACCAGCTTTGGGTAGGCTATATTGCTGCAGCCTGTACTGGTGCCACAGTATTTCTCACATTCTGAAGGCATGACACAGGCTACTTCATCTGTGGAAAGAGACAGAGAGATTTCCAGTCAACCAGGGTCCAAGAGGTGAGGAGAGCTCAGCCCACTGGTGTAGTAGCTGGAAAGGGAGCTTCTGAGTTTCTGCCTTGGCAGTGGCTAATGGACTTCACCTGGGGCCAAGATTCTGCCTGGCAGCTCCCATGTAGATATGCCCCGCCTTGAGACAAGTGCCCAATTTGAGAGCTGGCTTAACATCTAGTAGGGCACAAAAACCCATCCCCCTGTTTCCCACTTTTTCATTGAACTTTCCCAATATATCTTGACTCTTAAAAACATTCTGAAAAGCACATTTCATTGTTATCCTTGTTATACCCCTTCAAGACAGCACTTATTTTTGTCTTTGTATTCCCAGAACCATCACAGTACCGGGCACATATGTAGGCACTAAATAAACGCTCATCATTTGATCGATTACATCACAATCATTTCTGAGGATTTAAAAAGAATCTTCTGCCCCTGCCACAAGGTTGAACGTAGAACAACAAATCCAGCAACATCCGATGAAGTGACTTCATCTGATAATGTATACAACATTCTTTATTTAGATCCAGCTTTTTTCATCTTTTGGAAAGTGTCCTTCGGCAGTCTGATGGCACCTTTGACTACTTATTAACAAGTTTTTAAGTGTATAAAATAAATCAACATTTTCAGGATTAAAAAGGAAAATGATCAGACTGAAAGAGAGCTACCAAAAGAGGTATTTTTATGTTCACAAACCCCCAAGTTAAGAACCCTTGATTAATCAATCAATCAGTCCATCAACATTTATTAGGTGCCCATTATATGTCAGCCACTATATGAAGCACTTGGAGTACAAAAAGAGGCAGAATACATTCTGTCCTTAAGGAGCTTACAGCCTAATGGGGAGAGACAACATGCAAACAAATAGATACAAAGAAAATCAAATAGGAAATAAATAATGGAAAGCACTAGAATTAAGGGCTATTGAGGAAGGCTTCCTGTAGAAGGTGGAACTTTAGGTGAGACTTAAAGGAAGTCAGGAAGCTCAGTAGGTTGAGTTCCAGGCATGAAGGAACAGCCAGAGAGAATGAACAGAGCCAAGAGATGGAGGATCTCGTTCATGGAATAGCCAGGTGGCCAGGGTCAGTGGATCGAAGAGTACATGAAGGGGAATTAGGTGTAAGAAGACTGGACAGGGAGGAGGGGGGAGGTTATGAAGGTCTTTGAATGCCAAACAGAGCATTTGTATTTGATCCTGGAGGCCAGAGGGAGCTACTGGATTTTATTGAGTAAGGGGGTGACAGAGTTGGAACTGAGGCTTAGGAAAATCATTTTGTGGATGGATTGGAATGGGGAGAGATTTCCGGAAAGCAGACCTCCCCAGCAGTTACTGCAATAGTGCAGGCATGAGGTGATGAGGGTCTGCCTTGGGGTAGGGGCAGCATCAGAGGAGAGAAGGGGGTATATTTGAGAAATGTTGCAAAGGTGAAATCAACAGACATTGGCAAGGGGGAAGGTAGTGAGGAATCCAGAATGATCCGTAAGTTGTAAGTTTCAGGGACTGGGAGGAAGGTGTTGCCCTTGGTGGTAATATGGAAGGTAGGAGCAGGGAGGATTTAAGGGGAAAGAGAATGAGCTAAGTTTTAGACATGTTCAGTTTAATATGTTTACTGGATGTCTGGTCTTGGAAGTCTGAATGGCAGTTGGAGCAAATTTTAGACTTCTAATAGCCTTGAAGGAGATATGTCTTATTATCTATTTTCTGGTATTAGGATTTTTTTTCAATTTCATTACTCAGCATTCAACGTCCTATTAGAGATAATTGAATGACCTCTCAAAGTGGGGAGGCAACATAATAAAACAGAATAAACGTGGGGTCTGGATTCAGAGGGTCCAGGGTGGGATTTCAAACAGCAGAGAGAGCTATAACCAGTGAGACTACACTAAAGGTCTGGGACAGCAGTATCGCTACATCACAATGCCAGGAGTAACCCCTTCCTCTATCTGTGGACTGGCACAGTTGATATACTGCTAGTCCTGGACTCAGGAAGACTCGTTGTGATGTTGGGCAAGTCACTTAACCTGTTTGCCTCAGTTACCTCAACTGTAAAATTATTACAAAATAAAAGTACATATATCCCAGGGTTGTGCAGATTGAATGAGATAATATTGGCTTAGTGCAAAACCTGGCACATACTGGCACTCCATAAACGCATATTTACCTCCTTCTCTCCATTCTCTAAATTGTACTCAAAAAAAAAGTCTTGGGAACTTGCAGTTAGGAGTCATGGCACTCCCACAACATGATCTTCAATCAGCTTGAGAGAACGTAGTTGTGCCCCTGAACTCCTCCTAACTAAAGCTGGGAAGTCAGAACTTCAGAAATATGAGAGTAGAAACAACAGGGGTTTTCTGTGCTACTCATCACCAGACTGAAAATTCTATTATCCCAAATATCCTGTTTCACAAGAGTTCCAGGTAATCGAGGTTCCCTCACAGCCTGGAAGTACCATATGGATCTGAACCCAGAACCAGGTCTAGAACCAAAAGGGGCCAACCCCTTCATTACATGCATTAGGAAGTTCAGGCCCAATGACGAGAGTGACTTGCAAGGTGGTAAGTGGCAATCACATGGCTAAGTTACAAGCTTAGACCCAAACCTGGGGCTCATTAACCCCAAGTTTAGTGCTCTACCTCGTTGCTACATCCTCCCAAATGGCAAGTTCCCCTGAATATAGTTCACACCCCAAGATGAGATCTTGAAGGGAAAAGGATTTGCAGAGAAACACACGATAATAGCATTCATTACTGACCACAAAGTAGAGAAGATGTGTGGCCAACATTTGAACCATCACAGCATTTCCTAGAGCCTGAGGGTGAACAAATGGCAGAGAGGACTTACCTGGGTACAGAATGCGGCTGATCATACCGGGCATCACCATAAGGAAGAGGGCCAGCAGCTTCAGATAGCCACACAAGATGCAACCAGCCTTCACTTGGGACATATTCTTCCCTGAGAGGCACCGCTGCACCATCACCTGCCAGGGGAACAGAACTTATGGATGGTGCAGGGCCCCAGGACTCTCTTGCTCAAGTTAACAGGTACTCCTGCCTAGGAGCAGGATGTGACCTGGTTCTCATTTCAAGCAATCGGTAGAAGTACTAGGAAGGTAGCCTTCAGCTCAGTGCAGGAAAGAATGTTATAGAATTAGAGCTGTCTGGCACTCCAGCACTGGAATGGACAGCCTAGGACATAGGTAGTGAGTTCCCCACCTCAGGAGAGATTCAATCAGAAGATGGACAGCCACCTACTGATAATGCTGTGGACAGGCATTTGGACTGTATGACCCCTCAGGAAGTGAGGTTCGTTGTTGTTGTTGTTTATGCTGATCAACACATCGCTTTGAAGCAGAGGGGAGAAATGTTTCATGGCCCAGAAAGCATGATTTTGCTAAGTTGCCTGCCAAGCCTAAGACACAGATTACTCCCACCTTGAAACCCCCTCCTAAATATGTATGCTGCTGTTCTGACCCGGTTCACTACATATTTTGGTTACACAGTCTCAACTGGGCCCTCACTGCTGCTTGGCAATCCTCCTACACTGCCCTTATCAACTCACATTCCCACTCACCACAGTGGCTCTTCCAAAACTTTTCATCACTCCTCAAACTTCCCATGGCCCCTGTTCCTCCAGCCTCTCAGCAAAGAACCTTAATAACTTCATATTTTATAAAATAAAAGTAAGTATTCACTGAGCTCCCTCTTCTCCCCTCTTCTTTGTCTCCTATCACTCAGGTGCCTTCTGCCACTCCTCCTTTAAGCCTGCCTCATAGGCTGCAGTGGCCTTAAAGCTTACCAAGGTAAACTCCTCTACCTGCTCAAGTGACCCCATTTCATCCCATCTCTTCCAATACATTCTCTCCTCTCTCTATCATACCCACTGTTTCAATAATTGATCCCTGTTTATTGCCTCATTTCCTACTGCCTACAAACATGCCTAGGTCTCCTTTATATTGAAAAAAAAACCCTGACTTGATCCTTCCATCCCTACTGCTGTAGAGGACAACACCATGCGCCAAGTCCCTCAGGCTCACATCCTATTCTGTACTCCTCACTTTCTCTCACCCACCATGTCCAAGCTGGTGCCAAGGCCTGTCGATTTCCCCTGTGTAGCATCTCTCAAATTCACCCCCTTCTTTCCTCTGACAGTGCCCCCCCTCTGGTGCAGTCCTTCACTCCCTTACACCTGGACAATCACAGTAGCTGCTGGAGGCTCTGCCCATGTCAAATCTCTCTCCAATCAATCCTCCATTCACCCACTAAAGTGATTTTCCTGAAGTACAGGTGCAACCATGTCACCCCCTACTGAATAAACCCCAGTGGCTCCCCACTGCCTCCAGGATCAAATACAAAATGCTGTCGGGTATTCAAAGCCCTTCATAACTGAGTCCCCTCCTATGTCTTCAGCCTTCTCACCCTGTACATCTCCTCATGTTCTCTTCCATCCAGAGACCCTGGCCTCCTGGCTATCCCACAAAGAAGACCCTCCATCTCTCAGTTCTGGGCATTTTCTCTGCCCATCCCCTATGACTGGAATGTTCTCCCTTCTCTGACTGACCTCCCTGACCTTAAAATACCAACTAAAATCTAACCTTCTACAGGAAGCCTTCCCTAACACCAATAATCACAGGCTTCCAAGATGCCTCTGTTAATAATCTCCAGTTGTCCTGGACATAGCTTGTTTGTGTCTAGTTATTTGCATGTTTTCTGCCCCCATTAGAGCGTGAGCTCCTTGAGGTTGGAGAATTTTTGCCTCTTTTTCTACCATGAATGCTTAGCATAGCTCCTGGCATATAGTAGGTGCATAATAAATGTTTATTGACTAATTGGTTCTAGAGTCAGAGAGTCTGGGTTCAAATCCCATCTCTTAGAACTACTCCATGTGTGACCTCAAAAACATCAGAATGTCTGTGTGTCTCAGTGTTGAATGCTTCCTCATCTGTAAAAGGAAGGTATTGGATTCTATGATCAGTGTGATCCTCTGAGTTTTGCTGCTCATAGGGAGACATAATAAAGGGCACATCATGGTCCAAATGATGGGAGGAGGGAGAGAAGAACAAGGATCTTACCTTTCATGAGTATTTGTGTAGAAAAAGAAGCCTGGATTCAAGATAGGGAAGGGAAATTAGGAAACAATTTTTGGGAACACAGAGTTTTGGCTAAAATACAGTTTATAGAAGGTTTTAGATGAATTAACATATGGTTAATGCATACTGGCTCATTGAGGCAAGCTAGGGATGATTGTGGACACATTCCTAATGTCTTGAGGTTAATGTCCTGAAAGATATCTGTGAAATCATCATAAACCAATTCTTATTGCTTCTAATCAGAGAGACGGTTCACAACTGAATGAGTCTGACCCTGTGGGGAATTATAGTCATGATTCTGTGACAGTTTTTTTGTTGTAGATTGTTAACTGTGCGACAGTGGGCAAGTCCTTTCCCAGCTTTAAATCTGTTTTCCTTCTGCAAAATGAAGAGGATCTCAGTGGTTTGTAAATGCATTAAATGCATGAAATTTGAACTGTAACTCAATAAACAAATGAATAAATGAGAGTGTGTGTGTTAAAGAAGAGACAGAGAAAAGAAAAAGGGGTGTGTGTGTGTGTGTGTGTGTGTGTGTGTAGAAGGGAAGGGAATGGAAGGGAAAGAGGAAAAGAAGGAGAAGAAAGAGAGGAAGGGAGAGAAAAGAATAAAAGGAGGGATAGAGGAAGGGGAAAGTGAGAACGGATGAGGTGGAGGAAGAAACAGGGAGAGAGGAAAAGAAAAACAGAAGTTGAGGAAGTTAAGGAATAGATCTTTGAAACTTGGAATTTGAAACAAAGCTTTGATATGTTATAGAAAACAACATCCTATTTTTTTAAAATCTGGAGAGAAGATATTATGGTGACTAAAATATGGTCAGGTGATGAACGTAAATGTATAAAGCGTTCTTAGTGCTCTGTTACATTCATTTTCTATTTGCTGGCAAAAATATTTAAGATTACTTTTTTGTTTGTGTAAACACTAATTTCTATCCAGCTGTTATGGTTTTTTAACCAGTGTTTCCATTCTCTTAATACTGGCTGACTTTTATTTTGTGCCAGGACCATTATGCATCAAGCAAATAAATTCAAGCAGCCATTTCGGAAAAAAAAAAGAAAATTGGAATTTGAGGTCTGTTAGTGATTGGTCTACTTGTTTCCTAGAAATTAGACCTTTCCAAAAGAGTAGTGGGCTAACTCAGTTGGTAGATAGTGCCCCATCACTGAAGGTCTTCAAGCAAAGACTGGATTGATGGTCAACTCAGCTCTGTTATTCTGTAACTCAACACTTCTGTGGTTCTGGTCCCTCCTTCCTCTGATCTCACTTTGTATTCTGGTCCTACTGGTCTTTTAGTGTCATTGCCACTCTGACATTGGAATGATAATATTTGGGTCCTTGGCTCCACCACTCACTCACTGGCTTGATGATCTTGGGCAAATGATTACCCTTCTGTGGGCTTTAGCTTTCTTCTTTGTAAAATTGTACTGTTCATTCTTCCCCTGACTCCCTCAGAGCATTCTTATGACATTGGATTGAAAGAATGATTGGGAAACACTTTGGAAAGACAAAGGGTCTTTGCACAAACAAGGACATCATCTTTTTCTTAGGTAGCATGAAAAAAGCACTGGTCTTGGAGTCAGATTTGGGTTCAAATTTCTCTTTTTTTAGGAAAGCAAATGGGTTAGGTGACTTGCCCAGCATAACACATTGAGTTCAATGTCACCTCTTCTGCTCAATTTAACTCAGTAAATAATTATGAAATGCCCACTATGTGCCCCTGAGGATAGAGAGTTGGAAATGGATCAGTTCATGTCCTCAAGTAATTTCCATTTTTCTAAAGGATGCACCCGAGTGAGGAAGGACAGAGTACATCCAAAGGAATTTCCAGTGGTAGAGAGTAGTTAACAATGGGAGGGCCAGGGAAGGCCACAAGCAGGGCTTTGAAGGAAGCCAGGGTTTCTAAGAGGCAGGTGAAGCAGGGAGGGCATGAGGCATGTCTCACACACACTATCTATTGGCAAATCCCTAAGGTATCTAAGCCAGTTTCCTTATCTGAAAAATGAAGAAGTTGAACTGTACAGTGGGCCAACCACTGGCTTTGGGGTCAGAGACCTGGGTTTAAATCCTGTCTCTATCATTAGCTATATAGTATTGGGAAAGTCACTTAACCACTCTGAGCCTCAGTTTCCCTATTTGTTAGAGGAAGAGGCTGGGCTAGAAGATCTCTAAGCTTTCTTCCAGCTCTAGGTCTATGATCCCATTCTTTCTATTGTATAGAGAAAAGTGAAGTGGCTCTCACGCCTCTCCTCTCCTGTGGACCTCTCACCTGGTCTGCACACCTGTACCAAAGAGAAACAAGGTTCATTCCAATGAGGGCTCCTGGCCATGGCAGTTCACCAGTGATGGGATCCTGGAAGAGGTGGAAGGCATCTGCTTTGGGCGTGTAGCATTCAGGGTTCAGAGTTACATTTTGTCTGTGATGACAGATGGGATGGATTTCATGTACTCAGTGAAGGCCTCATATCCTCCCACTTCTGCAAAAGCTAAAAAACATCAGAAAAAAAGTTAACTCTGAGTGTCCACTGGGAACCAATAGGCCACATCAGGTGAACCTGTCCTTAGCCCATGATAATTATGTCTATGTATATTAGCATCAACATCCATAGTGTCCCAGACTTATTGTCCTTCCCACTCCTCTCCTGAGCTCATCCAGGTCATCCTGTTTTCCACCTCGAATTATCTCGTATCATGTTCACTTGTAGATACATTATTTTCTTCCAGGAGAATGTAAGCTCCTTGAAGGCAGGGACAATTTCATTTCTATTTTTGTATCCCAAGTAGGCTACCAGATGGCATAGTGGATAGAGTGCCAGCTTTGGATTCAGGAAGACTCATCTTCCTAAGTTCAAATCCAGCCTCAGTCACTTGCTAGCTGGGTGACCCTGGGAAAGTCATGTAACCTGTTTGCATTAGTTCCTAACTTGTAAAATGAGCTGGAGAAAGAAATGGCAAACCACTCCAGTATCTTTGCCAAGAAAAGCCCAAATGGGATCACAGAGAGCTGGACATAACTGAAATGGCTCAACGACAGCAGTGCCTAGTATGGTGCCTGATATGGAGTTACAATAGTCCTTCCCTACGATCTTCCTCTAATGCCTCTTTGTGAAGTGGAGGTCACCCCAGACTGTCAAAGATGATAACAACCAAGAGTGCAAGGTCAGGAAAGTTTTGCTCCTCTAGAAAGCCTTTGAGTGCTGGCTTGGTGATGAGCGATGTGTGCTTGTCATCTAAGAACTTGGACTGAGTTCAGAAAAGTTCATTTCTAGTTGTTTTGCCAGATAATCCTTTTTGTTCGATTGATTTTTTTTTCTTTTGCTCTTGGGGTTGAGTGGGATGGTTGGTTGGTTCATTTTGCTTTAGGAATGTCTAGAAATTGTCTCTTGAGGCATAAAGGAGTCATGATCTCTATCAGTATAGGGAGAAGGGGAAAAGTGGGTTCCACCAATGAAATTAAAGTTCTTTGGAGTACTGGCTAGTTCCCAGCATGGCATTCCTGTTTGTTCTTGCATTAGTTAGCACCACTCATCACACTGTCCCAGTGCTTAGCACAATGCCTGGCAGGTAGTAGGTGCTTAATAAATGTTTATTGACTGAGTGATATAGGTACAGGGATAAAGTTTCATCATAGACCACTGACCTGCTATAGACTTCGTTAGCACAAGACCACTTCCTCAGGACCACCAAGACCCAACAGTACACAGAGCACTATGCAGTCCCACATAGAGCCCCCGCTCATCCAGAAAGTATAGGGGATTAGACAAGTTTTCCCTAAACGATTTTCTAAACTCTAGTCCTGGACAGGGCTTATGTAACTCACAATTACACTTTTATGGGGTACTCTCATACTGCTCCAAAACAGAAATTATGTGCAAAAGATAAAGCAACTTTGTCTGTCTCTACTGGGTAGGACACCAAGAACCCATACCAGGCAAAAACTCAATGAACTGATAATAGAGAAAGCTAATATCTACTCCCATTCCATGCCCACCCAGCACCCCCTCCCTCACCACCTACCAGGCAGCCACACTGCACAACTCCACTCACAGGCTTGTAACAGAACTCAACTCTACACTTTACCACCCTCCTCCATGCTGCCAAAGAGAGCCAAGCTGAAGAAATTTGATCAGGCTGTGATAGCAGCAAGAGGGATCATGGCAGCATCAAGGAGAGGTGCCATAACAGAGCTTCATCAGACAATGGGGCAGGATGTCTTTGTGTGTGTGTGTCTATGTGTATGTTTGTGTTTGTGTGTGTGTGTGTGTGTGTGGTGTGTGTGTGTATTTTGGGGGCAGGGGATTTTGTGGCACTCCATTAAACCTGAGAGAAAGAGCAAAGCATACATCTGGGTCAAATTCTATTTTCCCAAAAGTTGCTTGGGGCAAAGATTAGTGAACTACAAATTATCCAGTGTGATAGGATATTGAGACAGCTTTGAGGGCCAGCTCCCAGAGAAACTGCCATCAAAGGGAAGGGAGTCAAAAAGTGAACAACAGAGGAAAAGAAAATTGAAATAACCAAAATCTCAGGAAGAAAAAAATCAAATTAAGATCTTGAGTAGAATCAGATTGGCCATCAAGGAATATATTAATAACAGAATGGAAAATGGTCTCCAAATCACTGAAGGAGGTTCAGGGGTCTATGAATACACATTACAAGATAAGTGGGAAATGAATCTTCTTTTCTACATGGATACTGGTATGCATTAGTAAGAGTATGACCCAGGTTCCTGGGGGATGTTTGGTTATTCATGATTTGACTTATCTTGATGAAAAGTTATTATTTCTGCTTGCCTTCTACTGAGTAAATGTTATCATGCTGTCACATTTGCCTTGGTGTTTAGGAAACTTTTTATGTTTAAAATTTAATGGTATCATCGTAATTAATTTAGTATAAATCAGAAGTGAAACAAATGGTGCTCAGAAACTATGCTGGCGTATAACAGAGGTCTATACATGTACACACACAAACACACACCAGTGTTACCCCTAGGATGAAGATGGAGAGCTCGAGAGCAGGAAGGAGAGACAGACAGAGACAGAGACAGAGAGAGGCTGGCCACACCTCTGGGGACATTACCGTGACATACTAAAGTGGATGTAGGTGGAGCAAGCAATCCATCACTGGGACAAGTGTATACCTTGGGAGACGTGGGAGTTGAGATCGCACGTGGGCCACATCCTAATCATAGATGTACAACTGGAAGGACCCTCAGAGGTCGACTAGTCCAATCCTGTCATTTTACACAAAAGGACACTGAGGCAGAGTGGAAGTGACTTGTCCAGGATCACCGAGTTAAATGACAAAGCTGGGATTTGAATCTAGGACCAGTGTCCTCTCTATTAGACCACACTGCTCTCCATGATAAAGTAAATTCTTCCTTTCTTCCCTAGAGTCCTTCACTGATGAAATAACATTTCCAGAGAGCAGCAATAGAAAACCCCAAAGGAGACAGATAGACAGAGACAGGAACAGGCTTCCGGGCTCCTGGATCTCATCCAGTGCCTCCCACTGCTCCAGGTCCACCCTCCATTCCTCAGGGAGGTCTCTGGCCTCGTCTGCCTTTACATACCATAGCCAGTGAGGATGAAAGAGCCGACCAGCATAATGACTGTCTGCAGGGCATCAGTATAAATCACAGAGGCCAAGCCACCTGCCGAGGATGAGAAGAGAAATGAGGACATTGGATTCTAGTAGAAGGAGCACAGTGTGGTAACATAGAAACCTTTGCTGCTTTAATGTTGTGTCTCTCTTCTCTCATTGTCCCTGCACTCCTGGCTTTCTGCCATGGCTTGGGCTCACCCACCTCAGAGTGCTGTGGTTCTGTGTTCCCCTGGTTCTCCTCTCTGATCTACCTGGGTCTTGACACAGTTTTCTGTCATAATGGCAAGGAATTATGTGCGATCTGGTATAGTACATGTAGCAGTGACCATGAAGTCTAGAGAGACCTGGGTTCGAATCCTGCCTTTGGCCCTTACTAGCTTTGTGCCACAAGCCATGCCATTTAAACTCTGTGATTCTCAGTTTCCTCACCTATAAATATAAAGATAACAATAACAGTACTATACAGAGAAGGGTGGATTAGGAGTCCAAGAACCTGGGTTCAAATCTATCCTTTGCCAAATCAATCAACCAATTCATCAATAGATATTCATTAAGTACCTACTCTGTACTAAGCACTAACCCATCTGGCAATGGAGAGGTACATTCACCTCTCCAGCCTTTAGTTACTCCTTTGGAAAATGAGAGAGTTGAAACTTAAAACCTCTAAAGTCCCTTCTGGTTCGAAATCTATGGTTTCACCTGTAGCACCCAACTCACCCACATTTGTGTTGAAGCTCAGTAAGACAGTGTGAAGCCCTATGTACCTGTCAGTTGTTGGTATCCATGAGATTTAGAGACACAGAGGAACATCTGGTCCAACCCCCTTACTTAACAAGGGAAAAACTGAGGTCCAGAAAAGTACACTGACCCACCCAAACCCACTCAGGTAGAGGAACTGGGATTTGGAAGCAAGCCCCCTAAATCCATCTACATGCTTTTCGAATGATGCTCCACTGCCTGGACTGATTAGGTTGGTGTGACTGATTGGGTTGACCCAGGTGTTCAGTATATGCATATGTGCATGTGAGTGTGCATGTGTGTGTGTGCGCACTTGCGCACGTGCGTGTGATGATTCTGGGTCCTGTAAAGTGGACATTCACTTGCTGCCTGGACTATACACACCTGACTATTCCCTGCATTCCTCTAAATTCTTGACCCCTTCTCTTTGACCCTCCTCTTCAGCCCACAGATGCCCAGGTCCCAGCAACTAGGTCCTGGGCTGCAGGAAATGAATGGGTACTGTCTCTTTGCAGCATAGACCCATAGGACTGCTACTGGATGATCTTCCAGCTCTATAACTTTTGTTTTGCAGAAACTTTGGCTTGGAGAAGGATCATGACTTGCCCAACATCTCACAAAAGCAGAACCAGCACTCAAACCCAGGCCTCCTGATACTATCCTTTAGGCCACATTCCTTCTTGCTTATTTTAGTAACAGAAACACAAAATCTCAGAGCTGCAATGGTCCTGATTGGCCGCTGAGTCTGGACCATGCCCCCAAAGAATACTTATGATAATATCCATGACAAGTAATTATGCAGTCTTTGCTTGGATGTCTACAGTGATGGGGAACTCACTACCTCTGGAGGCAGCCTGTCCTACCTTGGGGCAGCTCTCACAGTTACAAATTTCTCTCATCCATTCAGACCAAATTTGCCTCTTCACAATATTCACACATTGCTTTGGGTTCTGCCTTGTGGGTCAAAGCAAAACAAACAGATCCAATCCCTCTTCTCCATGATACCCTTTCACATGCTTGAAGTTAGGGATCATGGGCCCCCTAAGGCTTCTCTCCTCCAGTCTAAACATCTCAAGTTTATTCAATTGAGCCTCATGTGGTAGGCACTGTCCTGAGAAACCCAGGGGCCTCGAGGGCAGTGGGTCAGATAGAGAACACCCAGCAGAGGCTGAAGGACTCACCTGCAATAGTGAGGATCCCCGTGATGACCAGTAAGATGAAGATGGCTACGTAAAGATCCATCCTGAGGGCCACGTTGATGAATATGGCTCCTGAGAACATGCTGCCCTGAGAATGAGAAGACACCAGGATCAAGGAGGAGGGAGGCTTGTGGCTTCTGAGGGATTAATGATGACTGAAGGTAGAAATGCTGCAGGTTAGAGACCTGTACTCTGCTTCAGAATCTGGGTCCTGTCCTGGCTACGCCCCTGGATTTACTGTGCAGCCTTGAGGAAGTCTTCTTGCCTCTCTGGCCGTCACTTATCTCATCTATAAAGAGAAAGGGTAGACCAAGATAACGGAGAAGCAGTGTGGTGTTCACCTGGAAAGTGTATCTGATTTGGAATCAGAAGATTTGACCTTGAACCCTGGCTCTCTGACTTACTGCCTGGGTGGGCTTGGCCATTGGCTTCTCCTCTCTGGGTCTCAGTTTTTTTTTTTCCATGAAATGGGGAGGTCAGACTATGGTGACTAAGAAGTTGTGGAGTCCAGAGGACTCCACTGAATTGGGAATCCGAAGCCTTGGGTTTGAATCCTAGTTCTGGGACCTTCCTGTCATGTGCAACGTAAGCAACTCAGACTAAGATGATGGGGAAGCAGTAGGAAAAGTCCTGAGTTTGGAGGAGGAAAGCCTCAGTTTGAATCTGAGCTCTGTCTGTTACCACCTATGTGACCTTGGACAAGTCTCTTACCCTCTAGAAGCCTCAGATTATTAATTTGTGAAATGAAGGAGCTAGATGTGATGATACCACCAGCTCTCATTTTCCGTGAATGATTTAACACTTCCAGAATGTGTGATTTTGTCTGTGGGTGGTCTCTTCACCATTCCGGAATGCAGTCCATCTGTGCCTCAGTAGACAATCTTTGACAGGTTGCTTTGGACAAAAAAAATTTCAATTCTTTTCCAGTGTACTTGGACTCATAGGTCACCTTCCTGATGTGATGGGGATTCAGCAGGAGCATTGACAGAATCCTGAATGGACTGGAAGGGACCCTAGGAGTTTCCCTAGACCAAAGCCTTCATTTCCCAGAGAAAGAAATAGAATCCCTGAGAAGCTGAATGATTTTCTCAAAGTCATACAGCCCAGAAAGCTGAAAGACTCTAAGTCCAGCATTCCTTCCCTGACATCTTAGTGGCCATGAGACCTAGAGATTTTTGTTGTTCAGTTTTTTCAATCATGTCCCACTCTTCATTTGGGGTTTTCTTGGCAAAGATACTGGAGCAATTTGCTATTTCCTTCTCTACCTCATTTTGCAGATGAGGAAACTGAGGTAAACAGGGTCAGTGACTTGCCCAGAGTCACATATCTAGTAAGTGTCTCAGACCAAACTTGAACTCAAGAAGATGTGACTTCCTGACTCCAGGGCCTTGCTCTGTGCACCATGGCACCATCTGACAGCCCCAGACCTATGAATGCTCTGTTCCAGGGCTGGGGAACCTGTGGCCTCAAGGCCACATGCAGCTTTCCAGGTCCTCAAGTGGAGCCCTTTGAATGAATCCAAATTTCACAGAACAAATCCTCTTAATAAAAGCATTTGTTCTGCAAAACTTGGACTCAATCAAAAAGCTGCACCCAAGGACCTAGAAGGCCGCATGTGGCCTCAAGGCTGCAGGTTCCTCACCTCTGCCTGTTCTAAATAGTGAGTAGGACACCCACATAAGAGGGAAATGTGCAGAGAATTAGGGGCTAGAGACTGGATGGACTACATGTGGAACTCTGAGACACTAACAGGCAGAGTAGCATGGTGGTGAGAACCTTGAAGCCCTGGGTTCCACCCCTGTCCCTGTCCCACATGGGCTCTGTATGTCAAACCACTTATCTATTATTGCTTCTAGAGGGAACTGTCAAAGACTTTAAGTCACAGATGAGCTGAATGAATGAATGGAGTTTCCACACCGGAAGTTCCCTACACAAATGTAGACCCCATGTTCCCCTCTTCTCACCAAGAAAAGGAGGTGATATCAAAGCATGAGCAGACATTATTTGAGGACAGCATGATGGTCATGTCATTGAATGAAAAACAACATGTGTCATGAGGAAGGTGGGAGCTGTGGGGATGGCCTGGCTTCCTGACACACCCTGCTATTCCTTGGCTTCTGGCCAAGTCCTGATCCAGCTCAGAAAACTATGATATTGTGACTAGAAGCTCATTACTGGTCCTTCCTGTCCCACCCCCCACTTATCACTGCCTTTTGAAATGTACATTAGCAGCTAAAGCATTTGTAAGAGTTCTCTCTGTCCTGGGAAATAACACGCCTACTTTTGTTTCCCAACTGTGCATGCCTAAACAGAAAGAAAAACAAAGCTCAGAGATCACCAGGTGCCAGTTCCATATTTTACAGAAGAGGAAACTGAGTCTGAGAGAGATGCTATGACAAGTGCCAAGGTCACACAGCCAGTGAATGACAGGGTCAGGAATTCAGGATTTAAGTCTTTGGGCCCCAATCTCAAGGGCTGTGGTACATTGTCTTCATTCAATATGCACTCTCAAATAAACTCCTTTTATTCTGATTACTCTGTGTGACCTTGGATAAGTAACTTTCCCACTCTGGACCTTTTTCCTCATCTGTTAAAGGACAGGACCCAGTGGACTCTTAGGTCCTTGCAGCTCTAGGGTGATTCTGTGAAAAGGTTAGAGTCATGTTGGAATTCGTGGCTTAATTAGTAAACCTGAGGGGATTCCCTTATCACCCAGAGCAGAAAAAAGTGAACAAAAGGTCGGGTCTTTGAGATTAATAGCTATTAAAACCTCTCACCAAAAGCTGAGGCAGGAGTGGACTTCCATAGGTGTGGCTGCCACTCTAACATTGTCAGTAGGGAGCTGCCATTCAAGGCCTCCCATAATCTGGCCTCACCTGCCCATTGACTGTTATCACTCTTCCTCCCCACTATGAACCCTCAGCCCCAGGAAGACCAAGCATGTGCCCAGCCCCAGCTTGCTCTCACCTCCACCTTTCCTCATACTGTTTAGCCCCAAACTGGAAGGGGCTTCAGAAGACCATCTTGTCCTTTGTGCCGAGAGGCACAACTGTGCTCAGAGTGTCCTCCTTTGCTCTCCTCTCTCTCCATACTCAAATCCTACCACCCATGCTAAAGAACTTGTTCCAAGTCTCACCTCTGCCCAGAATTCCAAAGACCAAGAATTCATGGGACCTCAGCAGCCATTGATAAACCAGAGTTCTTAATCTGTAGTCCATGGATGATAGATAGATAGATAGATAGATAGATAGATAGATAGATAGACGGATAGACAGATAGATAAGTGGGTAGATGTATAGATGAGTTTCCTTCATAACCATAAGCATTTCAGGTTACGCATTGCACAAGCTGAGTCTGAGAAGACGTCCTAAGGCTTCACCAAGCTGACCCCCAAGGGGGCCACAGCTCCAAGAAGGTTGACAGCCCCTGCCATACCTGAATGTGAACTCCCCTTTCAATGGACCCTCCATGCACTCCTCTAGGTTCTGCCTGAAGATATTCCATTTCCTTTTGGAATACCTCTAACTGTTCAGCAGTCATTTCCTCTATCACACCAGCATCTGCCTCTCTGTAACTTCCTCCCATTCTTCCTTCTTCTGCCCACTGGGCCAAGCTGAACAAGGCTAATGCTTCTTCTGGCTGTCAAATGAATGTACTCATTATTTCTTCTGATAGAATCTAAGTTCTGTGAGGGAGGGCACTGCTTCATTTCTGTCTCTGTGGCCCGAGTGCCCAGCACCTACCCGGGATGCCTGTGACTGAGGCTATCACTTCCCTACGGTGTCCTGACTCTGCTATTTCTGCCTTCTTACCCTGTAATATTACATTGCTCTTTTGTAAAGCAAGAAGATTGAAATAGATGGCCTCCAAAATCCCTTGAGCTCTGACTAGCTGTGGGACAAAGAGGAAGTCATTTGGCCTCTCTGGACCTCTGTTTCCCCATCTGTAAAATGAGCAGATTGTGCCAGATGGCCTTTCAGCTCTGACATTCTATTAGTCTAGAAATGCCCAGACATGTGGTCTATGCAGTTGTTTGCTCAGTCAAGAAGAGACCTCCGTGCCAAATGAAGTTACTGAGGAGGAGGGATCTGATTTCTTCCACTTGGCTGGAATGAAATGCTAGAGGTTGTAAAGAAGGCCAAATTTTGGGTCAATGTAAGGAAAAGCTTCCTAATAACCAAAGGTGTCCCAAAGTGTAATGGGTTGCCTTGCCTCTCATATTCCCTATCAACAGTTAGCTTAGATGCCACATCTCCCATAAATCTTTTTGATTTTCCCTTCAGAGACATTCCCAGCCCTATGATCTTTTTAACTGTCCTCACACTGCTTATCCTCCTCTGGACACTTTCCAGCTTATTGAAGTCTTTCATAAATTATGGTAATAAGAACTGAACACAGTACCCCAGGTCTAACCAAGGGAAAGGACAGAGAGCCTGCTACCTCCTCAGCCACAGAAACACAGGCTCCTGCAGTTGGAAAGGACCTCAGAGGCTGTCTACTCCAACTTGGACTTACCAATACCTGGCACATAGTAGGCACTTAATAAATGCATGTTGATTGACTCACCTGTACTGACCAAGGATCCCCACTATGACAGCTCCAGCAAGTAGTTATTCAGGTTCTGTTCCAAGACCTCCAGGGACAAAGAACTCATTTTTCTATTCAACTTATTGAACATTTGTTAAGCACCTACCATGTGTTCAGCTCTTGGGATCCAAAAACCAAAATGAAAGAGGTCCCATCTTCAGTCTAGCTGGGGAGGCAGGCCATGAACACAAGCATAATTTGAGTTGGGGACAAACAGGAGATCCAGGCAAAGTATACTGGGAATATTTGAGGGAGAAATCAAGGAAAACTTTGTGAAGGAGGTGACAACTGAGCTAAGCCTTGATAGGGAATCTGAGGGGCAAGGATATCCATTCCACTTTTGGACAGATCTATTAGGATGTTTTTCCTGACATAGCCAAAATCTGTCTCTCTCTTTACAACTTCCGACACTTATTTCCAGTCTAGGAGAGAAAATCAAAACTCTTCTGCTGGACAGTTCATCCTCCAAGAAGCCTTCGTTATTATTTGGGTCTCCCCTTCCAGTCTAGACCGTGTGTTTAGGCATTTACAGACTCATAGACTGTCAGAGCTGAAAGGGACCTTAGTCCTATCTTCCTCACTAGACTGAAAGCTGCCTGAGGGCAAAAGCTGGGTCTTATTATTTGTGGAAACTCCTGACATTCCAACTTTGCCCCCAGTTGTGTGTGGTGCAGTGCTTAGAAACACAAGATAGGATGTCTGAACTAAAAGAGACCTTAGATATAACCTGGACAAACAATTCTCAAACTTTGGTCTCAGGACAATTTGCACTCTTCAAAATTACTGAGAACTTCGCAAACAGCTTTTGTTTATGGGGCTTATGTTTATTGACATTTATCATGCTAACAATGGAAACATCTTGTCATTATGCAGGGAAGAAGAATTTATTCAGTACATATTATAGGGCAAACAAGGGCAGCTAGGTGGCATAGACAGCTGGCCCTGGAATCAGGAGAACTGTATTCAAATTTGGCCTCAGACACTTCCTGGATGTGTCACTTCACCCTGGCTGCCTCAGTTTCCTTATCTATAAAATGAGCTGGAGAAGGAAATGGCAAACCACTTCAGTATCTCTGCCAAGAAAACCCCAAAGGGGTTTACAGACTCCAGGTCTATGCTTTACACTGTGCCATCTAGCTGATTTAATGAAAATAGTTTTGACTTCAAGGACTTCCTTTATGGGTCTTTAGGAACACGCAGGGGTATCCAGACTACACTTTGAGAATTGCTGATCTACTTCAACCTGCTTATTTGACAGGGAGAAACTGAAGTATAAGGAGAAGAAAGGACTGGCCCAAGTTCATACATCTTGCTTTGGAAGTAAGGGCTTATTGGGTTTGGGAAACATGACGCCTTCAGGCTGTGGCTTGGTCATGGGCAGCCTGACATAGCTAGACAGCCAAAGTCTAGACCAGTCATTTTTCTTGAGAAGAGTGAGACATATACATGGCCTGGGAACTTGACATTAGAAACAGATAAAGAAGATAGTTTGCCAGGAATCATAACATTTTTGACCTGGAAGGGTACGTGAGAGACTATTCTGGGAAACCCACATAATGGGTTCGATAAATCCAACAGAGTTCTCCTGGAGCCCTCAGAGGGCAGTGTTGTTTAGTGGGAAGAGCCCTGGAATTTGTGTCTGGGCACATGAATTCAAATCCTAACTGTGTTACTTGCTGCTTGTGTAACTTTGGGCAAGTCTCTGAGCCTTTCTAGTCCTCAGTTTCCCTATTTGTAAAATGGGTAGACTGGGCCAAATGATATCTATGGTACCTTCCAAAATTATATAATTCTATGGTCCCATGATTTTTCCTCCCAAACCAATGGAATCCACTGAAAGACAAAAAGGTGTTGGCCAGCCTACCAAACCACCAGCAGTAATCAGTAGCTCTTCCTCCTTAAATGTGCCAGTTACAGACCCACAGACCCTTGAAAGGGTCAACATACTGTTCACCTGCAGCCAGCTCTACTGTTTTCCTAGCCTCAGTGCTAACACCTCGGTGCTATCTTGGGGGCTGCCCACACTGTGAGAGATCACAGAACCCACCAGGTTCAATTATCCAATCCATCAACAAGTCAGACCCCTGATTTTCTGTTCTAGCACAAAAGACAGCTCCTCCTTCCTCATACTAGCATTCTTCTTTCTATTAAGCTTACATGCCAGACCACATCTTCAAGATAGATAGCTCCCAGCTCTCTTGCACCAGGCTTTCTACATTTGTAGCAGCCCCCAAATTCAATTCAATAAACATTTACCAAGCACATACTCTGTGCCAGGAACTGTGCTAAGCAATGGAGAGAAAGAGACTGAAAGGAGTCAGCACCTTCCCTCAGGGAACTTACATTCTACTAAAATGCAAGGGTAAGATGGACTTACCGAGATACTTGTCACTATACATGAGAACAGGGAAAGGGCAGAGAAAAAGATCTGAATCCTTTTCCCTCCAAACCACCTTATCAAATACTCAGGCACGGTCACCACCTGCCCAGGTAGGAAGAAACAAGAGTCACGCTGCATCACAAAACATCATGGGAACATTAGGATGTGGGATTTGGGGAATAGGGACCTTTCTGAAGCATTGTGCCATTAATCCAGCTAATGTCATTCCCCTGATGCTAGAGTGGGAAGGCACTATCTCAAGATAGGATTTGGAGCCAAGAATCATAGTTGAAATCCTGCCTCTCACGTGACTTTGGGTAAGTAATTTGACCTCGCTGAGCCTCAGTTTCCTCATTTATGAAATTAAGAAGATAAAATAAAACTTCACGTGTAATGCATCTTCCAGTGTTGTTGTAACTAAAGAGATCTGGAAATTTGGAAGCGTTATATAAAGATGAACAAATAGCCTTTCAAGTGTGTGGTGTGGAGAACTGATGATGCAGGATTTGGGTACTCACTCACCCCAGCCTTGATGTAAATGGGGACAAAGATCCAGCCGAGGACCAGCAGCAATAACAAACCCTGCAAGAAGCCCAGAAGAGATCGCATGGGAGTCAGGCTCCTCTTCTCACTGGTCCTGCCCAGCCAACGCGTCCTTCCCCAAGAGCCTGGGCTTCTCCCCTCTATTCACCTGGCACCCACATGGTATGATTTAAAGGGACACTGGGAAATATGGCTGCTGAGAAAGAACTCTCTATCAGCCTTCATCAATGAGGCCAACATGGGCCCCACCTTGAGAAAGTCACTCCTTTGAATATGACATTTTTAATCTTTAAGAGTGAGTCTTTCAGACTCCCCTGGGGCAGCTAGGTGGCACAGTAGATAGAACACTGGGCTTGAAATCAGGAAGATGCATCCTCCTTATGAGTTCAAATCCTGCCTCAGACATTTAATAGACATGTGCCTCAGTTCCATCATTTCTAAAATGAGCTGGAGGAGGAAATGACCAACTATTCCTGTATCTTTGTGAAGAAAACCCTAAATGGGTCATGAAGACCTGGATAGATTTGAAAAATAACTGAACAACAAAGGCTCCTCTATTAAAATGCAAACTATCTCTGCTTAGAGGAACATATTAGACCTTGGTCTAGTCCTTCACTTTCTCTGGGTCTCAGTATGCTGTTCTGTGAAAGGAGAGGATTGGACCAAATTCATAGATTCCCAAAGTGGGCAATATTGCTCCTGGGGGGGGCACTGGAATGATCCAGGGGGGTGGTAGCAGCCTCAGATGCAATTGGGGAGCATTGAATAAAAATAAGGGACTGATGGAAGTATAAGGAAAGAAGAGAAGAGAAGGAATTTTTGAAAAACCATTTGTACGTGTTTCATCTGTTGTGTAACAGGGTTAAAGTCACAGTGATTACATTATTTTAAAAATCAACAAACAAAATGCAAGTTATAACCAATCAGTGGTCAAGTCCACTGACAGGTCTTAAGCAAGTGCTGGTATACAAGTGTGTCACACATTAATGGAAAGTCCTGCATGCATTGGCAGGAATATGTGCATATAATGAATTGAATACAATGCACACTATATGTTTACATGATGCAATATGTTTTCAAATTTTCAATGCAGGAAAAAACACAAATTTAACAAATTATTAAATTTAAAATATATTTTATGTTTTTTTGAAATGACCCAAATTTTTTAAAAAGTTAAAGGGGTAAAGGAAGGAGATTTCCAGGGGGACAGTGAACAATTTTTCATTTGAAAAGGGGTCAGTAGGCCAAATAAGTTTGGGAACCTCTGGACTAGAAGATCTCTAAGGGGGGAGCCGAGATGACAGAGTGAAAAGGTAGCCACTCTCACTCTCCCCTATCAACCTCTGAAAACCCAGAAAATATCATCCCAGAAAAAAACCCTGGAACAGCTGAACTAGAAGAAAGACGAGGAGCAGCAGCGCAGCAGCCCAGCAAACTGGTCTCCCAGTGCCTCAGCAAAAAAGGGAGGTGAAGAAAACAACCTAAAGGCTTCCTATAGCCCCAGCCTTGCTGGTTCCAGCCCAACACCAGGTGAGCTGTCGGAGCCCTGCAGCCTCCAGTTTTGAAGAAATCCTGAAGCCCAGGTGGTGGAACAGGCAAACACCAATACCTGGACCTCCGAGTGCCTCAGGGAGAGTAGGGAGAACCGGTGGAAACCAGCTCAGAAAACCACCAGGTGCCTCCGCACTCTGCCGCGAAGGAATCTCCCAGTGCATTAGCAGAAACAAGGGAGACAACACTGCAGGGGGCCCCAGGCAGATAAACACCCTGCAGCACCCATCTAAAAGGAGCTGAAGAAAGCTAAAGGAAAGGAAACACAGGCAACCTAGAATTGCCTGAAAGTTCCAGCCTTGCTGATTCCAGCCCAACACGAGGTAGGCTGCCAGAAACCTACAGCCTCCAATTGCCAACATAAGAGGCCCCAGCACACAAAGCCAATGATCAAGACCTAGGCTCCCAACACAAGAAGCTTGGGCCAGTGCCCTCTGATTCCCAGCAGGAGAACTCAATCTCTTTAAAGGCCAGGGAGTAAAGAAACACCATGAGTAAAAAGAAATGTGCCATAGATTCATATTATGAGAAGAGTGAAGATCAAGACAGAAATTCTGAGGAGGACAACATCGTCAACAAACCCACATCTGCAACAACAAAAAGGAATATGAACTGGTCTGAAGCCCAAAAAGCCTTCTTAGAAGAGCTCAAGAAGGATTTTAAAAGTCAAATGAGAGAGGTAGAAGAGTCCTTCAAAAATACAATTGGCCAATTGGAAAAAAAAATACACTGAAGAAAACGAGTCCCTAAAAACCACAATTGGCCAATTGAAGAAGGAAGTACAAAAACTAACAGAAGAAAACAATCTGTTAAAAACTAGAATTGGACAAACGGAAACTAATATCTCTATGAGAGAGCAAGAATCAGTCAAACAGAAACAAAAAAATGAAAAAATAGGTGAAAATGTAAAATACCTCATCGGTAAAACAACCGACCTGGAAAATTGATTCAGGAGAGACAATTTAAAAATTATTGGACTACCTGAAAATTATGATGAAAAAAAGAGCCTGGACAGTATCTTTCAGGAAATCATAAAGGAAAACTGCCCTGAAGTCCTAGAACCAGAAGGGAAAATAACCATAGAAAGAATCCACCGGCCACCTCCTGAAAGAGATCCCAAATTGAGAATGCCAAGGAATATAATAGCAGCTGCAAGCAGCCAGAAAGAAACAATTTAAATATCATGGAACCACAGTCAGGATTACGCAGGACCTTGCAGCTTCTACATTAAAAGACTGCAGGGTGTGGGACATGATATTCCATAAGGCAAAGGAGCTTGGAATGCAGCCAAGGATCAATTACCCAGCAAAAATGAACACTAATGCATTGTTGGTGGAATTGTGAAATGATCCAACCATTCTGGAAAACAATTTGGAACTATGCCCAAAGGGCTACAAAAATGTGCATACCCTTTGATCCAGCAACAGCACTTCTAGGGCTATATCCCAAAGACATCAAACAAATGGGAAAAGGACCCACATGTACAAAAATATCCATAGCAGCTCTTTTTGTGGTGGCAAAGAATTGGAAATTGAGAGGATGCCCATCAATTGGGGAATGGCTGAGCAAGTTGTGGTATATGAATGTAATGGAATACTATTGTGCTGTAAGAGATGATGAACAGGCTGACTTCAGAAAAACCTGGAAAGACCTATATGGTCTGATACTGAATGAAGTGAGCAGAACCAAGAGGACTTTGTACATAATAACAGCCACATTATGCAATGACTAAGATTGTTAAACTGAGACTTTCTCAGCATTACGAGGATCTAAGACATCTCCAGAGGCCTCGGGATGGAAAATGCTGTCCACATCCAAAGAAAGTCGAATCGCTCTCACTTACTTTTACCTTCTGTTGAGTTTTGTTTCATCTTTCTGATGGTTCCTCCTATTGGTTTTAATTTTTACTTACAACCTCACTAATGTGAAAATATGTTTAATAGGAATGTAAATGTAAAACTTATATCAGATTGTGCACCATCTTGGGGAGGGTGGTGGGGAGGAAGGGGGAGAAAAATTTTCAGCTCAAAAGCATATGGAAGTGACTGTTAATAAATCAATAAATTAATAAAATTGGGAAAAAATAAAAATTTAAAAGAAAGATCTCTAAGGTCCCTTCCAGGTTGAATAACTTAAGTACAACTTGATGTCATAGACAGAACCCTGGATGTAGAATCAGGAGCCCTGGGTGCACATCCTGCCTGATACTGCCTGGGTGACCTCAGTGAGTCACTTTTTCTCTCTCTGCCTCAGATTCCTTGTCTCTCCCACCATACTAGCTGACTTGCTGCATCTCATGCCCATGTTCCATGTTCCATCTCTCTCCTTTCACAAGTCCTTCTCCATCCCTGGAATGCTCTTCCTCTTCACCTCTGCCTCTGAAGGATGATTCCTAGGATGCTTCATTACTCAGGTCAATGCTACCTCCTGCCCAGTTCCTCCCTCCCCCAGCTGTGATGCCCCCTAAAATTAATTTGTATTTCCTTGTATCTGAGTGTGTTGTTTCCCCCTGTAGAATGTACCCTCTCTGAAGACAGGGGCAGTTTTCATCCTGTTTCTATGTGTACAGCACCTAAACACAGTGCCTGGTACATAGTAGGTGTTTTTGAAAATGCTAGTTGAATAAATAAGATGATTGGAAACTAATGCCATCCAGCTAAAACAGTCTAGAAGTGATCAGATGTCAGCACCTTAGTGTGAGTTAGTTTATCAGATTCTTTCAATAGCGACATTTCCCTGAGATCAGGGTCCAGAGGGAGGTTTATGAGAATGGAAGAGGACATGTGAGTTTGGGGTGGTAGATGCATAGATGACTCAGAATTCTGGGATGTCAAATGAAAGAGACTTCAGAAAACTCTGCCCTAATCCAGACCTGAACAAGAATCACTGCTCCAACATTGCTAGCAAATGGCCCTTTCAGCCTCTACTTAGAGACCTCGGTGGGGGGGGGGAGGGGGGCGTGTTTACTACCTCCCAAGGCAGAATGACCCACTTCTGGACAATTCTCATTATTTGGAAGTTTTTCCTTTTATCAATCCTGTTTCTGACTCTGCAAAGCTGGAAAGGTCCCTTGAGGCCACTGAGTCCAAGCTTTTCATTTTTACAGATGAGGAAACTGAGGCACAGAGAGTAGAAAAGTCTTGCCCACAGTTGTAAATGTTGGCTCATAACATCAGGGATTTGAAGCTGGAAGGCATTTCTGAGTTCATCTAGTGCAATTCTCTCATTTTACAAATGAAGAAACTGAGGCCCAGAAGGATTAAAGCCCAGTGTCACTCCCATAAGCCAAAAGGATGAAGCTCCTCAGACTGAAGCAGCTCTAAGGTAGGGAAGAGAGAACTGGATTTGAAGCCTGATGATCATAGACCCACAGGAAAAACAACAAAAATCCCAACTGAATGTGGTGACATGGCCAACCTTGGTCCCCAAAAACAAATAGGAGAATGAAGAGGTGGGGTACTATGGGTGAGGAACACGGCATACACTGTCAGATTAGCTGATATGTTGTTTGGCTTTGCTGAGCATTTTCTCCTCTTATTCTTAATTATGGGGGTGGGGGAGGATGGCTAGTTCAGGGGAGGAGGGAATGAGGTGAAATATACTGGAAGATGATGATGCTGTAAGAAAAAATATATCGTTTAAAAAAAGAAGGTCATTTTTAAAGAAGAGCTATTAGGAACTTCAGAGGTCACATGGTCCACCTCCCTCCTTTTACAGTAGAAGAAACAGGCCCAGTGTCACACGAAACACCCCACTCCCCAGCTCTAGGCATTTTCACTGGCTTGTCCCCCATGCCAGAAACTCTCTACTTTCTCATCCCCAGCTCTGAGCTTCTGTGACTTCCTCCAAGGCTTAGCTAAAGTCTCACTGTCTCTAGGAGGCTTCCCATGGGCCTCCTCCCTCCCACATTTCCACCACCCTCACTAGCGCCATCCTCTCTGTAATTACCTTCCATCTACTCACTATGTATTTTGGATGGATCTAGTCAGCTACCTGTTATCTCCTCATAATACAATAAGTTCCTTGAAACTTCAGTGATCAGCACAGTGCCTGGGACACAGTAAAGCCCTATTACATGCTTGTTGACTGACTGGCTGAATGGATTCCCTTAGGCTAAGAAGGAACTCTCTGTATGTTGGGGTAGGCTTAAGAGAAAAGCACCAAACACTTTGGCCACATAATGAAAAGATGGGACTCATTGGAAAAGACCTTAATGTTGGAAAAGATTGAAGGCAGAAGAGAAAGGGGACAGCAGAAGATGAGGCGGATAGACAGTGTCATGGAAACAATGAACATGAGCTTGGATAGACTTCAGGAGATTACAGACAATAGCGGACCTGGAGTATTATGAGCATAGGGCATGAAGAGTCAGACATAATGATTGGAGAACACAACAATATCTCTAAAATGGGAATAATAATACTTATACAGCCTATCTCAGAGGGTTGATGAGTCAAAGTGTTTTGTAAGTCTTAATGGTGTTATGAAATTAAAGATTATTGCTATTAAAATAACACCTAATTGAGAGAGAGAGAGAGGGAGAGAGAGAGAGAGAGAGAGAGAGAGAGAGAGAGAGAGAGAGAGAGAGAGAGAGAAAGAGAGGAGAGAGAGGAGAGAGAGAGAGAGAGAGAGAGAGAGAGAGAGAGAGAGAGACAGAGAGAGAGAGAGAGAGAGAGAGAGAGAGAGAGAGAGAGAGAGAGAGAGAGAGAGAGAGAGAGAGAGAGAGAGAGAGGGAGGGAGGGAGACGTGATGGATGCATCACCTACATTTGACTCAAGCACAGCAACTGCAATTCCTGAGGCTGCACCAGTCCCAGCCAGGCCCACAAAACTGGCACTGCCAACGTTACTGGCAAAGAGAGAGGCACCAATCTGGAAATCAAAGGAAGAACATGGTGTTATCAGACTGTGAAATCATCAGAGACTTTTACAGGAATGAGAGATCATAGACTCGAGCACTGGAAGGAACCTTTGGGAATATCTAATCCAACTGCCTCATTTTACAGAGGAGAAAACTGAGGCCCAGAGAGGGGAGGGCTCTTGCCCTAGGACACACAACTAGGCAGTAGCAGAGCTGAGATTCAAGCCCATCTTTTCTTGGGGCTATTAATGATGCCTGATGGTTTGGCTCCTTCTCTTCTACCATAATAGCAGACTCCTTTCTGCAATGGCCAGTCTGCTACCTGCCTCTATTTCTTAGTCTACTAAGCTGTCATATGACTTTTTTATTCATCATCTTACTCAAGTTCCTGAGGGGTGCTGAAAAAATCCTGGACAAATAAATATAATAACACTGAAGAAGGGGCAGAGTAGAGACCTGGAACCCAATGGAATCCTCACTGAGCCTCTCTCTCAACCACATCCCCCTCTTTGCCACCTTTATTCCTCTCCTGGTCACTGGGAAATATTCTTTCTCCTTTTCCCCGCACCTCACTTACATTCTAAACAAGTACAATAAAGAGAAGTGAGTTGAGCTCTGTGTGAGGTCCAAAGGAAACTCAGTCTTTCTCCTCTCTTTTATTTCACATCTGAGCTGGTCTTCCTAAGTTTGCAGCTTGGGAGAGGGCATAGAAAGCCACTGTTCAAATAAATAACAAGGGAATAGAGTGGGAAATACTCACGGGCCACCACACCATGTCCCTGCCAGCCAGGAAGAAGCCTCCCACTGTTGCTCTATTGGTATTTAGCATGGCCTGGGTACAAAGGGATAGAATAGGACAAGATATGAGAGCTGAAGACACAAGAGAGTCAGCACACAGACTACTGAGAGGTGACCCCCCAAAAAAAGCAAAGGGAGATTCTTCTCATCAACATGCAGTCATGTTGTGCTATGAACAAATCTCAGTGTATTTGGTTTGACCAATTACTCCTGTCTGACCTTTCATAACCGTATTTGGGGTTTTCTTGGCAAAGATACTGGAGTGGTTTGCAATTTCCTTTCCCAGATCATTTTACAGATGAGAAAACTGAGGCAAGCAGTGTTAAATGACTTACCCAGGTCCACACAGCTAGTGAGCATCTGTGATCAGATTTGAACTCAGGTCCTTGTGATTCCAGGACCTGCACTCTATCCTAGTATGGCTCCATTCAAAAACCTAGAATCACTGAATCTTAAGTCTCAGAAGGAGTCATTCAGCGCAGCTTCCCTTCCCAACTCTGGTCTCCTTTCTCTTCAAACAGGTTTCAGTTATTTACATTGTTAAAAGGGCTATGGCCTTGAAAGAAGCCCTTTGTTTCTGCCAAAAATTCAGATGATCAAATGTGAAGCTAAATTAAGTAGACTGATTGCCCTTGAGGTTGTCAGAAAGACGTCTGACTTCTACCTGGGTGGCTCAGTCCTTATTACCACTAGAATGAAATAGAAAGTCTTCGGTTTGGAATTTCAAGTATTACAAGAATTGCCCCTTCCTCCATCTTCCCCTCCCCTGTAAAAGCTCTTTTGTACCTCTTTATTTATCTCAAATTAAAGAAGTACAACAGAGCTTTTACAGGGGAGGGGAAGGTGGGGGAAGGGAGCAAGAATGCCCTATTCTAATGGGAATTGGCTTTAAGAGAAAGTAACATACACACTAGGTTGGGTATATAAATCTATCTCACCATACAGAAAAGTAAGAGTGCAAAGGGATAAGAGGGAAGAGCTGATAGAAGGGAGTGAAGATTGTAGAAGGTAAGTCAGAAACAAAACACTTTTGAGAATGGACAGAATGAAAGAGAGGGTAGAATAAATGGGGAAATATGATGGAGAGAAAGACATCGTCATCATAACTAAGAAAGAAATTTTACAGTAGATTTCCTGATAAAGACTTCGTTTCTCAAATATAGAGAACTGAGTCAAATTTATAGAAATAAGAGTCATTCCTCAATTGATAAATGACTGAAGAATATGAACAGGCAGTTTTCAGACAAAGTAATCAAAGCTATCTATAATCATATGAAAAATGTTCTAAATCACTGTTGATTAGAGAAATGTAAATTAAAACAACTCTGAGATTCCACCCACAACTTTCAGACTGACTTACATCACAGGAAAGTAAAATGACAAATGTTGGAGAGAATGTGGGAAAATTGAGACCCTAATGCACCATTGGTGAAGTGATAAAACCATTTTGAAGAACAATTTGGAACTGAGTGTACCCTTTGACCAAGCAATACAACTACTAGGTCTATATCCCAAAGAGATAAAAAAACAAAAAGGAAAAGGACCTGGATGCACATAAATATTTATAGCAGCTCTTATAGTAAAGAATTGAAATGTAAGGGATGTCCATCAATTGGGAAATGGATAACCAAGTTGTATATGATTGTGATGGAATACAATTGTGCTATAAGAAACGATGAGCAGGATGCTCTCAGAAAAACCTGAAAAGATTTACATGATCTGATGCAAAGTAAAATGAGTAGAACCAGGAGAACTTTGTATACAGTAACAGCAATATTACACGATGATCTGCTATGAATAACTTGGCTATTGTCAGCAACACAATGGGCCAAGATTATTCTGAAGAACTTTTAATGAAAAATGCTCTCCCTCTTCAGAGACAGAACTGGAGGAATCTGAATGCAAATCAAGGCATACATTTTCTTTATTTTTCTTGTTTTTTGTCTACATTTTTTTTCACAAGACTAACACGAAACATATTTTGCATGACTGCACATGTATAATGGATATCAAATTGCTTGCCTTCTCAATGAGGGGAATGGAAGAGAAAAGGCAGGGAAGACAATAATTTGGATCACAAAAATTGTTAATCAGTGTTAAAAATTGTTTTTACATGTAATTGGGGGGAAATAAAGTATTAATTTTTTAAAAAAGGAATTGAAAGGGAGGAAAGGGAAGCCAAAGCAGTCAGAGGGCCTGGATAAAATGGAGAGGATGAGAAATAGATTTAGGTGGAGCTATGGATAAAGAGAGATGCATATAGGAGGTGCTGGTCTCACAAAAAGGAATTTCAGAATTGTTCAGAAAGTGGAACACTTGTGTAATCACACCAGTGTGGTCACTATTGTGTGATTTTGGACAAATCATTTAACTTCCCTCACCTTCAGTTTCCTGATGTGTACAATAAGGGGGTTGAACTCTACAGGTCTCTAAGCTTTGTTCCAACCCTCCATCTATGATACTGTGACAGTCTTGTGTGCAGTGGAGGAGCAGGTCATGGGAGCAGAGAAGGCTGGTGACCAGACTGTCCAGGCTATTCAAAGGACCATTAACATGCATGTTGAAGTCCCCAAGTATAAGGGCAGAGGTGGCATTGAAAGGAAAACCTCAAGCTAGATGCTGGACTCGTGGGGGCCAGTTGGTAACTGCAGGTCAGGCTTTGAATGGACAGAATGGATTCCTTGTATAAATGCCAAAGGAGTCAAGGTAGCTGAGAGATGGTGGCAGAGAGAGGGTCTGGAAGTGCTGATAGGGAGCAAGGAGTATTTCCATTCCTCCTCCAGGACCAGTTTCCTGGGAGAAGCAGAGAAGGTTTGTCTACCCCTGGAAGGAATGACAGAGATGCAGGGTCTCTTGAGGTGGGGAAGGGAGGGAGGAGGAGCCAGGTCTCTGTGAAGGCCAGAAGATAGGAGGGCAGCAGGAAGAAGTCTGGGATCAAGGGGAGTTCATGTACAATAGAATGGGAGGAGGGAAGAGACCAAACAGGAGTATGCAAGGGACTTTTGAAGGGGCATGCCTGAGACAGGTGGTGATGAGAGGATGGGAGGGGAGGGGTTTCACCTGAGTGCAGGTAGGTGAGAGGGTGCCTGTATCATGTGAATTAATACAAGGTGGCATAGCAGCTTGAGAGCCATAGAATGAGGATGCAGCACCTTTTGACTGGAGATCCTATCCTCCTGGTATCCATCTGTGGTAGAGATGAGTCAGTTCTGCTCTAATGTGGAAAGAACATTAGATTTGCAATTGGGAGACCTGGGTTAAAATCCTAGCTCTGATCCTTACTATTTACTACTCTGGTCAAGTCACTTCACCTCTTCAGTTTCCTCATCTGTAAAATGAGGGATTTGCAGTAGATGACAGCTCAAGTCCATTCATAAATCTAAGATCCTAAGCAGTTATTCCACCTTCATTTGAAGACTTTCAGTGAGACAGAACCCACCACTTTCTAGGACCAGCCCATCTCACTGGGAAGAGCATGGTTTCTCTTCTTCATTTTACAGAAGAGGAAACTGAGGCCTGAAGGAGAAACTTAGACACCTATGAAGCCCAGTGATTTACAGAAGCCTTGCTAAATAGATGGTATAGAAGATATTATCCCCCATTTCCCCCGAGGAAACTGAGGCTCCAAAAGGGGAAGAGACTTGTAAAAGGTCCCACAGAGTTGCACTCAGAAGATCAGACTGTTGTATAGGTCTTTTAACCCTACCCTGCTGAATACTTAGAGACAAGACCCTTTTTTCTTCTGTTTCTCCTCATTGATCTGGCATATTGAATGCCTTGTCCTGTCCCTTGTTGAGGGAGGGGAGAAGGACAGCTGCCTCTGGAATAAACATGACATTGCCTCAATTTTCCCACCTCCAGTCACACTTGCTAAAACTCCACTGTCAAAGAATAGACAGAATGTTAGATCTGGAAGGGACTTTAGAACAGAGGGTATCCAAATCTGATGAACTCAGAACGTGGAATGTTACAGATAGGAGGGGCATCAGGACATGAGATGTCAGAGGCAGAAGTCTATCCCTTTCATTTTAGAGTTAGGGAAACCTAGGCCCAGAGGGATGAAGGGGCTTGTCCTCCAGGTGATAAGCATTGGAGTGAGAGAGCTCCAAATTCAGTCCCCTTGCCTCTGCCCTGCTATGCCCCTATCTCCCCATTAATCCCCTGCCTTATCCTTTGTTTAGGACCCCACGTACCCATAACCCCACTGCCAGGACCAAAACAAAGTAGATGACAATAACTGAGATGTCTGCCACATTGTTGATGAGGTCTGATGGAGAGGGTGGCACGGGGGTCCCGGCAGAGATACTGGGGCTCACGGTGATGTCCATGGTGGCAGCAGTAGCTTGTGTCCTCTACTCGCTGAGGCAGGCCCTTCCTCACCTACAGAAAGACCGTCCAGTGCTGTCCCGGGGCTCACTGCCTGCCTCTTTATGGCTCCTGGGCCAGGGATCCATCTGTCATCCGTGTTAATGATCAGCCTCAGTCCTCTGAGGGGAGGGCAGAGAAGGAGGGAAGGACAGAAGAGGAGGGCAGAATCCACAGTGGGGAATGGAAGAATGGCAGATCAAGAGTGGGGAGTGCCCAGGGGTCACCGAATGAGTCTTTCCATTCTCTGGGGGTCAGGGGATGAAGAAACAGGGAAGCTTGCCCAATTAGCAGCCCATTAAAGGAAAGGGGTCTGTTTGGAGTGCTGAGGAGGGGAAAGAGAGAGTGCTTCCCAGGAACAGGAGGGAGGGTAAATTAAGTAGCAATTGTGTAGACCGAGGATTGGGCCTTCCAGGCTCCTTCAGCCTCACTACTAGAGGAGTTAAGTTGGGGGATCCAGTGCCCCCAGAATTAAACTCTAACTTGAGCCCCCATGCTGACCAGCCGGAACTCTCCTGACCCGACAGCACCTTGTGCCTCTCCGGACAACAGGATGCCGAATGGAGCTGCATGGGAAGGGGTCCTCAGAACACAGCCTGGCCACTCTCTCCACTCTGTGTGGTACACCAAGTATCGCCTCTAAAACCTCCAGCCTCTGCTTAAAGGTTCTCAGTGAGGCAAAGCCTATCCTCCCACCTCCTTTGGGGGTAGCCCCTTCCTCCTTAAGACAGTGCTCACTAATGTCAGGAAGTTCTTCAAGCCAAAATCGACCTCTTTGCAACTTTACCCCATGGCTCCCGGTGGTGCCTCTCCCTCCCCCAGGGCGGGGCAGAGCAAAGATCATCCCTTCTCCCCAGGGGATCCTTTCAGATACTTCAACACAGCTCTCCCGAGCTTTCTTTGCCATTTCATTCAATAGCTCCTCCAAGGGTCTGGTCTCAAGACCCTTCCTTGGTGCTTCCTCTGGCCATTTTCCAGTTTGTCAGTGCACTTCTGGCAGGTCATTCTTCTTGTGGCCCTTCGCCCTCCTTTGCCAATGCACCTACCAAGTGTATTGTGTATTATCTTTGTCTTTGGGGTGTGTATATTTCCCCCCTAATTAAATGACACGACATAAAGCACTTTGCAAATCTTATAGTGCTATGTAAATTCTGGCTATTAATAAAAAGGACAACAAATATATTTATTATACTGATAATAATTATAAAAATGAGACAATGTGGCTTGATAGCTCAAGTCAAGAAGAGAAATGTCTGGGTTCAAGGTCTGACTCTGATAAACTGACTGTGTGACCTGGGGCTAGTCACTTGACTTGTTAATGCTATAAGCATAATGCCAAGGCGACCATGGTGTAAATGCAAGGGAAAGGCAGGAAGATTGGTCACATCCCAATGTTCTTACGTGGGCTTGTTGCCAACACAACTCTAGCACCCCCTGTCTCTGCCCCCTCTCACTTCTGGCACCTCCTGCATGGACAAGATTCGTTCTCTAAAGTCTTAGAACAAAAAGACCAGGGGCAGGTAAGTGGTGCAGTGGATAGAGCCCTGGCCCTGCAGTCAGGAGGACCTGAGTTCAAATCCGGCCTCAGACCAAACATTTGACACTTACTAGCTGTGTGACCCTAAGCAAGTCACTTAACTCCAACTGCCTAAAAAGAAAAAAAAAAGAACCCAGGTTCCTAAAGGCAAAATTCCCTGATCCCTCTCCCTGAGTACACCCACACCTGCTCCCGCAGATCACCTTGCTATGGGTGCCCTGAGCTGACAGGATCTGCTCTTTGGGGTGGTGGTTAAGGAAGTCAGGTGCCCCTAGATACACTTTTCATTTGAATTGGGGCTGAGTATGAAAGCAAGCAAAGCATAAATGTTCATACAGTGGTCTGAGAACAGAAATACTTTTATTATACATCAGGAATATCTCGTGACAAAAGGGATTCATACTGTATTTTTTCGTTAGCTCCAAGTCACACAGCAACATATTGCCAAGTGGTGCAGGGCGACCATTACAAATAACTCCATTTCTAACCCTAGATCAGTCAAAGTAAGGAATGACTGAAATTTGAAGAGGTAAAAGTTGAAGACCCTGAGACCATTGAAATTCTCCACTCAGTCCAAATTCCAGAAATTTTTACTAAGACTGCAACAAGATAAAAATAGCTCCAAAAACTCCAATGATTTTGAAAAGGAACTGGGCATGGATTATTAGCTAGGTACTTCATCAGTTTACTCTCAGACACTAATGTCTCTCTTAACAAAAGGCATCTCATGTCTGTTACCAAAGGATGAGAACACCAGTGACCTCTACAAATATAGTGCAATCACAACTTTAGGTGCCTTGCAAAGGATCAGAGCTTAGCTTACTTTCCAAAGCAAAAGATGAATACCAAAAAGTTCCAGGGTTATAAAGGATGGCTTGTTAGCTATCTAGTAATCACTGCCCAAGCAGCCTCAAAGCACCATAACATACATAATTGCCTTTGTTGGTGATTGCAAAGCTTTTGACTCAGTTCTGCACTCATTATTCATTCATATATTTTAACATATAAAACAGACCCAAGTATCTTATATCCACATGGGAGACTATTTCCTATTTAAAACATGCTGCCAACACAATCATGTCAAGAACAGTTTATACAGATAAAACATGGTATTTTTTCTGAGGAGACAGGTTTAAGCCCATTGTGGTTCTGTCTACCCTTAAACTATTAGCATCTCTCCTAAGAAGAATTAAGTATAACTTCTTTAAGCTGAAACAAAATGTTATATTAATTACTTGATGTCTGTAAATGACATAAAACTGAATGGGGATAATGAAAAACAAAGGAAACAGCTGCTTCATCTCATGAAATCTTTTTCTTCTGAAATAAAAGCCATTTGGAGTGCAGGAGTGTAAACAATTCAACCTTAATAAGTCTTTTATGATTTCTCTTTCCAGTTTCTCTTTTCATGCTTCTCTTGAGTCTTGTATTTGAAAGTCAAGTTTTCTATTCAGCTCTGATCTTTTCATCAAGAATGCTTGAAAGTCCCATATTTCTCTGAATGACCATTTTTCCCCTTGAAGGGTTGTACTTTTGCTGGGTAGGTGATTCTTGGTTGTAATCCTATTTCCTTTGCCCTCCAGAATATTATATTCAATGCCTTCAGTCCCTTAATACAGAAGCTGCTAAATTTGGTGTTATCCTGATTATGTTTACAAAATACTTGAATTGTTTTTTCTGGGTGCTTGCAATATTTTCTCCTTAACCTGAGGACTCTGGAATTTGGTTACAATATTCCTAGGAGTTTTACTTTGGGGATCTCTTTCAAGAGGTTATCAGAGGATTCTTTCAATTTCTATTTTGCCCTCTGGTTCTAAAATATCAGGGCAGTTTCCCTTAATAATCTCTTGAAAGATGATGTCTAGGCAATTTTTTTTTATCATACTCCAATAATTTTTAAATTATCTCTCCTGGATCTATTTTCCAGGTCAGTTGTTTTTCTAATGAAATATTTCACATTGTTTTCTCTTTTTTCATGTTTTAGGATTTGTTTTAGTGTCTCAATTTTTCATAAAGTCACAAGCTTCCAATTGCTCCATTCTCACTTTTAAGGAAGCATTTTCTTCAGTGAGCTTTTGGACTTCCTTTTCCATTTGGCCAATTTTGCTTTTTAGGGCATTCTTCTCCTCATTGGCTTTTTGGACCTCTTTTGCCATTTGGGTTAGGCTATTTTTAAGGTGTTATTTTCTTCAGTATTTTTGGGGTCTCCTTTAGCAAGCTGTTGACTTGTTTTTCATGATTTTCTTGCATCACTCTCATTTCTCTTCCCAGTTTTTCCTCTACTTCTCTTACTGGCTTCTCAAAATCCTTTTTGTGCTCTTCCATGGACTGAGACTGATTCATATTTTTCTTGGAGGCTTTAGATGTAGGAGCTTTGACTTTGTTGTCTTCTTCAGTTTGTATGTTTTGATCTTCTTTGTTACCAAAGAAAGATTCTATGGTCTGACTTTTTTTTTGGACCTTTGTTTATTCATGATACCAGCCAATTACTTGAGTTTTAAACTCTTTGTCAAGGTAGAGGTCTGCTTCCAGTGTGGAGAATGTACTGTCGAAAGCTTCAGGGATTTTGTGCAACTGTTTTCAGAGATACTTCTAGGGACCTGTAAATTTTCAGTTCTTCCAAGGTGGTATGATAAGGGGAGAGGTGTTTGCCCCTTTCCTGGACTGTGCTCTGGTCTATGAGTGACCACAAGCGCTGTTTTTTACCTTGGAACTGTGAGGTGAAGATTTCCTCTCCACAGCCACTACAAACTCCACCATGCCAGTGCTCCTCCTCACCCCAGGATCACCATCCAGAACTGTGACCCCGATCCAAGCATGGGCAAAGCAAGAGAGTCCTGCACAAGCAGAGGAATCCCTGTAATCCCACTCTGATCAGCTACTTGATTCCCCCTAGGTCTGTGGGATGGAAGCTCTGGAAGCAGTCACCAACCCGGGGGCCAAACTGGGTAACTAGGGCTGGAACCACACTTCTCTCTCTCACCGCAGTCATAGACGGTTCCCACTGACCTTCTAAGTTGTCTTTGGTGTTTATGGGTTGAGAAGTCTGGGAACCACAACAGTTGCCCACGATTCAGTCCTTTGAGGCCTGCTCCAGGTTTGCTGAGGCCTGCGTGCCTCTTCTCCCTGCTCGGTGTGATAGACCTTTCTGATCAACCATCCAGGCTGTCTTGGACTGGAAATTTGTTTCACTCTGTCTTTTTGTGGGTTCTGCTGCTATAGAATTTGTTTAGAGCCGTTTTTATAGGTATTTGGAGAGATTTGGAGGAGAGCTCAAGCAAGTCATTGCTTTTACTCTGCCATCTTGGCTCTGCCCCCCCTTTAATGATCTTCCCAAAAATTTTCCAGGAAACTAAGTCAGGTTCACTGAACTGTTGTTCACAGATTTGATTCTCTTTCCTTTGTTGGAAATTGAACCATTTGTCT